TAAAAAATTTTTTTCTATTTACAAACTGTTAGAGGGTGGGGGAAGGACAGTAAAGTATCCCCCAAACTGAGAAAGTACGTAGAGACTGGAGAATGAAGCAGGTGACTCCATCCAATTGACACAGTTTTATTCAGGGTAACTTGCTGATGGGGGCGTCGGGTGGATGACGATCCAGGAAGCTGCACAGCTATTCTCCATAAAGTCCAGACCTTGGTCTACAGATTTTATAGAGCAAGGAGGTACGTGGGTGGGGAGGGCACTGTAGTGAGATCAGAGGGCTTGCATGCACCTAACTGACAACTAACCTTTAATTAGATATTGTGGCGCCATCCATGTGTCGGGAAGGGTAAAGACTCTTATCTCTAACATTCATGGGAGGCCAAAGCAAGCCTCCACACATCCCAGCCTTGGTGGGCATTTTTAAGGTATGTATATTAATCTTCAAGGGGCCTGGAACACAAGAGAGGTCATTGAGCAAACATGAACAAGATGGAGGGCTAAAGATGGAGTCAGTATTGTCAGTACTCCTACATAAACACTCTAGTTGATAAATAAATATCCCCTGCCCCCACCTTGGACAAGGAATTGTGCTGTCGAGTTGATGACAGAATGATTATCTGCCCTCAAGGAGCTTCTAGCTTATTTAGAAAGATAAGGCAGATAAAAATCAATTACAAGAAAACAGCTAAATAGTACAGAGGTGGTGTTGCTAACACTGTGGATGGTACCACTTTGTTTCCAGAGTGTTTATACATGTTACCATGTTTGATACTTTGACAATCCTATAATTTATTTTTTATTTATTTGACGGGGGCGGGGGGAGGCGCACAAGCAGGGGGAGTGGCAGGCAGAGGGAGAGGGAGAAGCAGGGAACCCAATGCGGGGCTTGATCCCAGGACCCCGGGATCACGACCTGAGCCGAAGGCAGATGCTTAACCGACTGAGCCACCCAGGCACCCCAGGCAATCCTATAATTTAAAGAAATACCTATCACCCCCTTTTCACAGAAGAGGAAATAAGAATAGGCAAGTTGTAAGGGCGCCTGGGTGGCTCAGTTGTTAACCGTCTGCCTTTGGCTCAGGTTGTGATCCCGGGTCCTGGGATCGAGCCCTGCATCGGGCTCCCTGCTCAGCGGGGAGTCTGCTTCTCCCTCTCCCACTCCTCCTGCTTGTGTTCCCTCTCTCACTGTCTGTCAAATAATAAATAAATAAAAATCTTTAAAAAAGAAAAAGAATAGGCAAATTGTAAATTCAGCATTGATGCTTTATACAAAGAGATTTGAGAAATGGGAGCCGATCATGGGGGACCTTCGACATTATGCTGAAAATCTTAGCTTTCATCCTACATGCATGGAGAGCATATGTTCATATAAACAATTTAGAAAATAAGCAAAAAAGAAAATTTTAATCACCAGAAATTCTATCTGTGAAGATAAAATTTCATGTTACTGAGCTTAGTGTTTTGTTGTCCACCCTCCCAGGCTCATCTCTATGTGCAAGGCCTTCTCTGACCCTGGACTTGACTGGTTCTCAGGAAATAATCATAAGCTAAATAAACCATTATAGGCTAAACCCTTGTCAATACATTTTTATAAGTTAAGGCTCTATTTTGGGAAATTCACTTTATTTCATAAAAAATGCCAAAGCTGTTAGAAAATAAATGAAAATAAATGTAAATGTTAACAAAACATTAAGTATATTAATGAAAGAAGTATGTGAGAACTACATTGTAAATGTTCCTTTGGGAATGTTTTACATGATTTTTACGTCTGAGGCATCATGGCAATCTCTATTCGTTCAACTCATTCAAAAAACATGGAGGGCGCCTGGGTGGCTCAGTTGGTTAAGCGACTGCCTTCGGCTCAGGTCATGATCCTGGAGTCCCGGGATCGAGTCCCACATCAGGCTCCCTGCTCAGCGGGGAGTCTGCTTCTCCCTCTGACCCTCTTCCCTCTCGTGCTCTCTATCTCTCATTCTCTCTCTCTCTCAAATAAAATCTTAAAAAACAAAAAACATTATTGAGCATCCTCTTATTTTGTTAGGTCCTATGCCAACAAAGGACCTGTGCCTCCCTCATGAAACTAGCCCATGGGTCAGCAAACTGTGAGCAGTTGCCTGATTTGTATGGCCTGTAAGCTAAGGATGGTTTTTACAGTTTTGTTTGTTTGTTTGTTTTTAAAGATTTTCTTCATTTAGTGAGAGAGAGAGAAAGAGTGTGCAAGCTGGGGGAAGGGTAGAGGGAGAGGGAGAGAACCCCAAGCAGACTGCACTGAGTGTGGAGCCTGACTTGGGGTTTGATCCCACGACCTTGAGATCCTGACCTGAGCCAAAACCACGAGTCGAATGCCTAACTGACTGAGCCACCCAGGTGCCCCAGTTTTTACAGTTTTAAATTTTTTTTAAAAACCAAAAGAGAAATATTTCATAACACATCAAAGTTACATGAAATTCAAATTCCAGTGTCCATACATAGTTTTATTGGAACATAGCCACACTCATTCATGAGCAGTTGCAACAGACTACAGCCTGCAAGCTGGAGATACTCTCTGCCCCTTGAGAGTTTGCTGACCACAGAACTAGTGAAAACGATATGCATTCTTCCCTGCTTGGAGGACTTTCAAACTACAATGAAATTTAGAGTTATCTCAAAAAGTTCCATTGCCATTAGAGGCAATTAAATGAATGCCTTGAAAATGATTGGGCATGGATAATTTCCATGATGGGTTCTTCATTGTTTCCCTGCCTTTCCATTTTAATAATATCACCATTAATATGTTGGTGATAGTGGAATTCTAACAATTCTACAACAGCTGCAGGAAATAATTCTGATTACTATCCCACTGTCGATTGCAGTGATTAGTACTAGAGAAATCAAAGTTTGGTCTTAACTGAAAGGGCAGTACTTTAGGAAGGGTGTATAGAAGGGAGGCACATGTTCAAGTTGAGCTTCTCACGTGTATACATGTGTCTATGAGGCATTTTTTTATTTCAATAAAAAATGGGCTCATAGTGGACATACTGTTTTGTGACCCATCTGCTTTTTAAAATTTTACAACATTTTCCTATATCCTTAAGTATTCATTACACACATCTACATGTATTCTTTTTAACCATATACAATTTTATAATGTGAATATACTATAAATCTATCATTGGACATCTTTCTATATTCTTTGCTATTATAAACAATACTATTTATTATGATTTTTTCAGATAAATTCTAAAAGTGAATTGCCACGTTTAAAGAGCATATACAAGTTATAAGGCTTTTTGATAGATTATCCTCTTAAAAGACTGTACTAATTTATAAAAATCTCACCAGAAGTGTATACATCAGCACCTATTCCTCCACAGCCTTTCAACATGAACTCTTTTCATTTTTTATAACTTTCCAGCTAATCCAACAGACAAACAATACTGATAGGTGGTTTGATTTGCATTTCTTTAACTATTAGTGACGTTGAAGATCTTTTCATGTGATTTTGGTCATTTCTAGTCTTTGACTTAATGCTAGTTCACGCCCTTCATACATTTCCATTTTTTTCTATTGGGGTAGCTTGCTTTCTCTTACTGATTTTCTTTAAAGAGTACTATTTTATTGGAAATACTGTTTTTCTTCAGTTTGTTTGCCTTCATTCTATGTTTGTTTTTTGACATTCACAAATACAGTCACATTTATATTATCTAATTCTCACAAGTGAGTACTATTAGTAATTTAATAGAGGCTCAAAAAGGTGACACAGATAGTAAATAGCAGAGGTGAGATTTGAACCAAGTCCCATTTAATTCTGGAGTCTATACACTCAATTACTATGCCAGTGGTTATCAAAATGTCCCCGGACAGCAGCATCACCAACACCTAAGAACTTGTTAGAAATGCAAATTCTGACACTGTGGGTGGGCAGCAACGCAGTTTAACAAGTCCTCCTGGTGATGATACATGTTTGAGTGTGAGAGCCACTGCACTACACTATCCCTTCTTCTAGATTTCCCGTATAAGGGACTATACTATTTAAAATGAGGTCAAAGGATAAACAAGGAAATGATTATTTTTTTTTTTAAAGGAAATGGCAACCACTAGGAAAATGTAGAATCCTGAGTAGTAATGAAGTACTTGGGCTGCTCCCAAGGCACAGGTCCTGATACTGTTCCACTCGCTGCGGTCTCCAGTCTCCACTGCAGGAGGCTGACATCCGTGGACTGCATTCAGTAGCTACAGTGTACCAGGATGTTGCAGTGGCGGTTAAGTGTGAAGAATGACTCCAGGAGAGAGCTCTTCTTTTTGACTGGGGTAATTGGTCAGTTTTACCAAGTGGGGCAAGAGGTGGTAGAACAGGGGTCCGTCCTAAAGGAAAACAAGAATTCAGTTTTTAACACGTGGATCGTCAGGAATCTGAAGGACATGCAGGTCGAAGTGTCCACGAGGGAGTTGTTTAGAGCCTACAGTTTTTGAGCAAGATCCGGGATAAAGATGTGGACTTGTGGCGTCACTTGCGTTCACTAGCGTGGATGAGACAGTGTCGAGTGGGGAATGACAAATGTAGAGAAGAACAAATATAACAGACTGTGAAACCACTGGCAGCTTTTCCGATTTTCTCCCCTCTCAGCGTGGATCAGGGAACCGATACTTTCCAGTTCCCAAGAGGCTCAGGAAAGACCAGCACGCAAAGAGAGGCTTTCCGTTCAGGCTGCTTAGAGTGCCAGTCGAAAAGGGCGCCTGGCTCTCCAGTTTCACTTTCCTGAGGTTCCGGACACCCGCCAGCCCCCCAGAACTCTCCACTGGCTCCCTCTACGACCAAGTCCCGCGGCTAGAGGCAGCCCTCTGACGTCACTACCGCGCGCCCTCCCCCGCCACCCTACACACACCGTTCCAACCACACCCCGCGCCTCGGCGCTGCGCTTTTACGTCTGACCGCTCGCCCTCCCCCGCCTCCCCGACAAAGCCCGCCGCTAGGCGCTGTGCTTTTACGTCATCACAGCGCGCCCTCCCGCCTCTAGGTGTTCAAGCTCCGCGCGCGAGCCGAGCTTCAGGCCCACGGGCGGAATCCGCGCGCCCTGTGTCGCTTCTGCGTTCCGTCATGTTCCCGGCCGTCTCCTCTCCGCGGACACCGGGGCCCGGGACCCGAAGGGGCCCGCTGGGCGGAGTCGGGCCGGGCTCCACGCCCCGGGCGACTAGCAGGAAAGGTCTGTCCCTGGCGTCGGCAGTCAGCTCCCCGGTGCTCTTTTCGCCGGTCGGCCGGCGTAGCTCGCTGAGCTCGCGGTAAGTGATTGTCCCCGGTTCAGTCTGGTGACCGATAGGCTTACGTGCCTCAGCGGGCCTGATGGGATAGTGTCTCCAGAAGCCTCCGGAACCGGGGGCGGCGGGGAAGAATGCCAAAATTGGGGGGAAATAGATCTTCTCCATCTTTGCGGGTAGTTATTTAAGCCTCGCTTTAATTTATCGAGCCTTCACTTTGCACTTTTCATGGAATTAGCTTTGTGTAGAAGTGAACAAATTGGATTTCGGTCAGTGGTTACCCGCCTCCTTCTTACTACCCCTGTGTTCCCGTGTCAGTCAGTCATGAGTCTTCACTTAAGGCCAAATGAATCAATATGAAATCCTTCGACGATGGTGGCAAGGAGCATCTCCAACCCGGGAAAACCGTATACTGCCTAACATAGTTATTGCCATTAATATCTGCCGATTAATAGTTAAGGGAGTTTTGGCCACACAAGTTCACTTTGTAGCTAAATTAATAGGTATAAGGCTTTCCATAGCAAGTGAGTTAAGAGTAGTTTTGTTAGCAAATAAAAGCGTGGCGCATCAGTCCACATCACTTGTTTTGTTTTTTTTTTAAAGATTTTATTTATTTATTTGAGAGAGCGAGAATGAGAGAGAGAGAGAGCACATGAGAGGGGGGAGGGTCAGAGGGAGAAGCAGACTCCCCGCTGAGCAGGGAGCCCGATGCGGGACTCGATCCCGGGACTCCAGGATCATGACCTGAGCCGAAGGCAGTCGCTTAACCAACTGAGCCACCCAGGCGCCCCTCCACATCACTTGTTAAATCATGCTCCGCACCCACCCTTTCATAATTAATCTAGAACTTTAGAAGGTAACATGTTTCTGAATTGTTTCCTCTGAATTGGTCTACCAAAAAAGAAATTTGTTTCGCAAGAAAACATGTTTTGAAAGTGCTCTTCAAAGTGGTGATCTCGTCAGTGTTTTCTACTCCTTTTGAAAAAAGGGAATAAAAGCTGTATTTAATGTGTGGTTTTTAAAATCTTTTCTTTCTAGTGATTAAAGAAAAATCTTTGCTATAACAGTATGTCAACAAAGCTCACTTAATCCTCATGATAAGAGAACAAATTTTATACTGGTAGCTTTACATTATTTTTTGAATGTTAACAAGGTGAGGAGATACAATTTCAACTGCTGTATCTGCTGTTGAAGAACAGGTAACAGCAGATACTCATGACTCTAATTTCTTGGTTGCACAAATCTGGGGGCGCCTGAGTGGCTCAGTTCGTTAAGCGTCTGCTTTTGGCTCAGGTCATGATCCGGGGGTCCTGGGATGGAGTCCCACATCAGGCTCCCTGCTTCTTCCTCTGCTTCTGCCTCTCTCTCTCTATCTCTTAAGAATAAATAAATGAAATCTTTAAAAAAAAAAAAAATCTGGTAGACTTCATAAAATTTGCCTGATGAGGGCAAAATGGGTGAAAGGGAGTGGGGGGTACAGGTAGCATAGGGAATATAATCAGTGATACTATAATAGGGTTGCATGGTGACAGACAGTAGCTGTGCTTCAGTCAGTTTTGTACATCTGAAACTAATGTAACATTATGTGTCAACTATTCTTCAATTAAAAAAAAAAAAGTTCCAGGGTTGGTGAGAGCTTAAAGATAATCTAACCCAGGGAGGCTGGGTGGCTCAGTCGTTAAGCCTCTGCCTTCCGGTCAGGTCATGATCCCAGGGTCCTGGGATCAAGCCCCACATCGGGCTCCCTGCTCAGCAGGGAGTCTGCTTCTCCCTCTCCCCCTGCTTGTGTTCCTGCTCTCACTGTCTCTCTCTCTCAAATAAATAAAATCTTTAAAAAAAAAAAAGATAATCTAACCCAGTGTTTGTAAAGCTTTTTTGACCACAGTGTATAATAACTCTAGATTATATTCTGTTTTGTTTTTCAAAAATGTTGATTGAGACCCTCAAAATGACCCACAATTTGGAAAATACTGATCTAGTCCAACCTTCGTATTTCACAGCTAAGGAAGCAGTTATAAATAGTTTAAGTGAATAGAGCATGCGTCTGATTCCTAGAGCATAAGAGTCAGAAGCCATTTTTCTAGATCCTGTCAGTCTTTTTTTTTTTTTAACAGGGAATATATTAGACAGACATGAGCCAGAGTTGCTTTTTTGTTTTTTGGGGTTTTTTTTACTGTTACACCTCATCATTCTTCTTGTTTATCAGAGATCTTCTCTTTATGTGAAAATATGTACCTTAAAATTAGGATAATGGAAAATTTTTTTTTTAAAGATTTTATTTATTTGACAGAGTATAAGCAAGGGGAGTGGCCGGCAGGGGGAGAGGGAGAAGCAGGCTCCCTGCTGAGCAGAGAGCCCGTTGTGGGACTTTATCCCAGGACCTGGGATCATGACCTGAGCCCAAGGCAGATGCTTAACTGACTGAGCCACCCAAGGGCCACAAGATAATGGAAAATTTTAAGTTATGGTTCAAGGAATGTGGTCTCTTTTCTTTAGAGGAACACCTACACGAATATTGCCACACCACTGTGTAACTGAGTCTATGAACTATGATGTGAAAACATTTGGATCTTCTCTTCCTGTTAAAATAATGGAAGCCTTGACATTGGCTGAAGGTGGGTGTCATTTTCCATTTGCCTCTATTAGCAATTCAAAATGCAGCCTGGCTCTGGCTCAGATTGAAATTTGCGCTTTCTCTGATATACCTTCACTTAAATGGGGTAGAAACAGGTGATGTCTTTGGTTTTCACTGTAATTGAGAAATGTAATGAATTTGAGAAGCAGAATGAGTTTATTTTCAGCACAATCACATTACTTCTTTTATGGTTGTAAACACTGCATATGCAAAACTCGGTCTGATTTCAAAAGTTGATCAGGTGTATGAAGTTTAGCTTTAAAAAAAACCAAAACACTGCCTCACATTACTGGGTGTGATAATGCAGTAAGATCATGTCTTACTACCTCTATTTCTGGATCCTGTGTAGTATCCCAGAGGTTATGTGTACACATTTGTGTTATCAGTGTGGTGTATCTTTAGAAGATTTTGTTGGCAGAGAATTAGAGTGGAAGTTTGAAAGATGTAGTCACACAAGTGTTAGAAAGGCAGCAGTAAGGCTGAGGGGTTGGGTGACTTGAAGAGCAAAGTTCAGAGCATCCTCAGTGATGTTCCCAAGGCATTATTTATGATGCAATTAGATTTTTGTGATTTTCTGGAACAGTGTTTTTCAAACTGCAGGTAGTAACTGAAATCAGTTTAGTGGCTCATGGCCAGCACTTAAAAAAACAGAATGCAGAATAAATTGTATGTGAATGCATCATGATACAAAATGTATTTCATACGGTGAATGACAATCAGAAAAGGTTAAAGTACTCCATTCTAGAAAGGAATATTTCTCATCAACTTGAACTTGCCTATCTTCCCTATGAGTCCTTGAGAACTCAGGTACAGTGGTTTTCAGACAACTAAACTTCCACTAACCTCTGTCATGCACTGTTTTTGTTTTATTTATTTTTAAGATTTTTTATTTGCGAGAGAGAGAGGGAGAGCACACGCAAGAGAGAGCACGTGCATGAGCAGAGGGAGGGGCAGAGGGAGATGCAGACTTCCCACTGAGCAGGGTGCCTGATGCAGGACTTGATCCCAGGACCCTGGGATCATGACCTGAGCTGAAGGCAACCACTGAAGGTGACTGAGCCACCCAGGCGCCCTGCACTGTTTTTGTTTTAAATATATATATTTTTCTTTACTCTTCTAAAAATTTCAGCTTAAATTATATTTAAACCTTTTAACATACTCCTGGTTCATGCCACCAGACTTTTAATAAATAGTACACAGCCTCAGAGGAGAGAGTCCCTAGAAATTAGGATGTTTAAACTGAGGGGTGTGTAAACTGGAAGAACTTTTCCCTATATGGAAACCTACCAAGTGCTGTTTGTTAAGTCAGAGACCTCAAGGGCTTACCAGTAGAGTATTTGGAGCTGCTTTATTGCTTTCAGGAAAAGAAAATATTGAGCAGATACGCTAATTCAGCAAAAAGCCCACACTTAGCCTAGGCACGACTTAGTATTTTAGCTTGTACATTATTGATGCCTTTTATCTTGCCCTTCTTTAGGCAAAGAGCAGAGCTCAAGTTAATTAAATTTCTAGGGCTAACACACTGAAGTTTACCACCAGTGCTTACAACAGCAATATACTAGTTTAGTTTTGTTAGTTAATATGGAATGTAACCCACATGGTGTCTAGGTGGCTCAGTCGGTTAAGCGGCCGACTCTTGGTTTTAGCTCAGGTCGTGGGATTGAGCTCTGTGTGGAACTCTGCGCTTAGTGAGGAGTCTGCTTAAGATTCTCTTCCTCTCCTCCCTCTGCCCCTCCCTCGTGCTCTCTCTCTCTTTCTAAAATAAATAAATAACTCTTTAAAAAATATGGAATGTAACCCTTGATGTCTGCATATAGTGAAGTGATTTATCATACTTTTAAAGAAAGTATTTGAAAATCACATTATTTTGAAGGAACAGTTTTTCCTTGAAATTTTTAATATATTTAATGGGAGAGATTATTATTTGTGTTGCTGTATCAAAATAAAACTACAAATGTTACTAAATATTTTAGAAAGTAAGATACTTGTTTATAACCAATATTAAAAGATACTAAACCTAAGTCCAAAATATACTTTTTGCCTTCAGATACATTTCTAAGTGTGGTTATCAAAGTTAAATGGATTTCTTGTTTTGGATATTTATAACTCTTGAATTACTCGAGAGCATTTTTGATGTGAATGAATCTTTTTTTATGTGGTAATTACTTTTTTATGTATATATATAGACACATATATATAAAGAATGTAGCTATAAAGAAGATTTTGGTATAAGGAATTTTAAGGTTTTTTTTTTCCTTTTTGTTTTTTTAACAGTTTTTCTTATTAATGCTTTAAGTTTAATTATGTACTTTTTTTTAAGTTGATGATCAGCTGACTGTTCACATAGATGGAGGTGGATGGGCTTGTCTGGTCTGCAAAGAGAAACTCATTATTTGGAAGATTGCTCTGTCACCTATTACTAAGGTAATTGCTGTTTAGAAAGCTAGAAGGAGATAGAGGAGAGGATTACCAATTGGCTCTTAGTTTTTACCCTAAAGCTTTAGAGTTGTTAGAGGACAGTAATCTGAATCTACTCAAACATTATGGATTTGCATTTTTGTTATGATATGAAATACTGAGCATGCATATACATTGTTGTATTGGCGGAAAAAAGTTTCTCCCATTTAATAATTTTAAACTAGATCCATCTTATTTACATTTAATAACATTGGAGACTTCAAAATTTGTAATGAATGTTATAAATGTCATGTCAGTCTACCTAATGAAGTTTAAGGCTAAATGCCATCCACATAAGCTAATGAATTGAGTTTATTTATTTCTAAGATAGGACTCTGTTTCACTAAATCTGCTGAATGATGCTTAATAGGGAAAAACAGGGGCATCTAGGTGACTCAGTCAGTTAAGCCGCTGACTCTTGATTTTGGCTCAAGTCATGATCTCGGGGTCCTGGGATTGAGCCCTGCGTCGGGCTCTGTGCTCAGGTGGGAGTCTGCTTCAGGATTCTCTTTCTCCCTCTGCCCTTCCCCTCTCACCAAATAAGTAAATAAGTCTTTTAAAAATAGGGGAAAAATGATACCAATTTAAGTAGTTGTAACTTTCGGTTGTCAAGTTTCTCACATAGGATTATCATTTGTGTTTCCAAGAACTTATTGTCAGCAACCTAATTTTCCTGTGTGTTCCATATCAGGCATCCTTCCTTGCACCAATCACGGGTCTGTTGTTACTGGGCCATTGTTCTGTTGGAACTGGGGATTCGTGCTTATCTGAACTCTTGACATCTGTGGCTTTTGTACTGCTGCTGCCTAGAAAGTAGTATTTGTAGTTGAGAGCATAGGCGAGGAGATGTCCTGGGGCCGCGATGAGTTAGCAGAAGGAGCCTGATATCTGGGTGAGGCTAAGAAATATTTTCTGGACAACTTGGTATAATTAATTATTCTGTGGTCATGCTGATTTTAGATGTCAAATAAACAAATCAAGACTAGCCTGGGAAAATTCCATACATACGTCTCTTAACCAGTAGACTTTTTTTAGTCCAGAAAGGTATCGGGCTAGTTGATATTCAGTGTCTGGTCTACCTCTTAAGTTTTCCTGATTCTGTATCTCTTAAGATATTTTGTTTTGAAATTACTGAAAGCCCTGATGAAAGCCTGATCAAAAAGATGTGAGAAGAAAGAATATTTATAGAATGGTATTTCCAGCAGTGAATCAGAACCTGAAATATGCAGGGAAAGAAAATAGTGAAGTCAGGTGCATATTCAAAAAACTTGGATTTGATGTGAAAGATTTTTTGTTTGGGTTTCTTCTTTAGTTATCTGTTTGCAAAGAACTTCAGCTGCCGCCTAGTGACTTCCACTGGAGTGCTGACTTGGTGGCTCTCTCTTATTCTGATACTGCAGGTGAAGCACATTCTACTCAGGTAGGTGACTTAAATGCTTATTGAAACATTTTTTTTTTAAAATAAGGGAGTTGTAATATTAGAGGCATCATCCAACCTGATTCGGAGACATAACTGTAAAGCCACAGGAACCAAGACACTAGTGTTGGCATATAGACACATAGAGTGTGCAGATACAGAGGTGGCCCTTTGATCTGCGACAGAGCTGCAACAGCGATTCAGTGGAGTAAGGATAGTCTCTTTAGTAAACGGTGTTGGGACCTTTGGTCATCCTTATGCAAAAAAAAAAAAAAGGAAGAAAGAATTTCCCCCAAACCTCCTACCTTATACAAAGATTAACTCAAAAGGGATCATAGATTTAGATGTAAAACATAGAACTATAAATTTTTGGAAGAAAACAGGAGAAAATCATCATGACCTGGGGTTAGACATAGAGTTCTTAGAAATCACCAAAAGCATGATTCATAAAAGAAAAAAATAGATAAATTGGACTTCATCAAAATTAAAAACTTGGCTGTGTCAAAGACAGTGACAAGAACAAGAGACAAGCTACAAACTGGGAGAGAATATTCATAAGCCATATCCTACAAAGAACTTGTATCTAGAACGTAAAATGAACTCTCAAAGCTTAATAAGAAAACAACCCAATCTAAAAACAGGGCACAGGTCTTGAACAGATACTTTACCAAAGAAGATACAAGGTATTACAGAGATGTTCACATCATTAGCCGTTAGAGAGATGCAAATTGAAACAATAGTGAGATATCACAATATACCTATTACAATGGCTAAAATACAAAATACTAACACCACCACATGCTGGCAAGGATGTGGAGCAACTAGAACTCAGTACGTTGCTGAGGGGAATGCAAAATGGTACAGCTACTTGATTTTCGCTTTCCAATGAAGTTGAAAGACACTTGCCATTATGACCCAACAATTCCATTCCTGGCTGTTTACCTCTAGAAATTAAAACTTAAGTTTACACAAAAAACAGTATATGAATGTCGTAACAGCTTTATTTGTGATAGCCAAAGGTGGAAATAACCCAAATGTCCTTTAACAAGTGAATGAATAAACAAACGGGTTTCATCCGCAGAATGGAATACTACTCAACAGTAAAAAGGAATGAACTCTTAATATAGCAACAACCCAGATGCATCTCAAAGACATGCTGAAGTGAGATAAGCCAGTGCTTAAAGGTTACATTCTATATGATTTCATTTGCTTGACATTCTCAGAAAGACGAAACTATAATGATGGAAGCTGGTTACCGGGGTTAAGATGGGGGAAAGATGTGATTATTAAGGGATAGTTAGCACTAGGGAGTTTGGGGTGTTTACGGGACTGTGCTGTGTCCCTATATTGGTGGTAGTTACATGGGTCTATACAAGTGTTAAAATTAATAGAACTGCACAACAAAAGGGAAAGAAAGTCAATTTATAGTCTGATAATTTTTAAAATATAAAAAGGAGGGGTTTTTTCCCCCCTAATTTCTGTTAAATAGTAAATTCCCCTAGTTTCTTTTTATCAGTGTCACCAGACTCCCAGTTTCAGGGTCCTTTTTACTGTGATTGCCAAGTGTTAATGATCTTGTTTCAAGGCTGTTGCTGTCATGGTTGCCACCAGAGAAGGATCCATCCGCTATTGGCCAAGCCTTGCCGGTGAAGATATCTACACAGAGACCTTTGTAGATTTGGGAGGTGATAAGACTTACAGTTTCCTAACAGCAGTGCAGGTATATGATGGGTTTTCTTTCATATTTATTGGAAAGCTGTGATTTGGCTTGGGAGTGATATGTGAATGACTAAAAATTGTTTTGGATAGACCATACAGGCCAGAGGGGGATCAAAAAGAGGCAAGAGAAGAAGGTAAGGGTCTAGGAGTTGAACAGTTGGACAAAGGAAAGCCCTTCTAGGACTCTGAAATACCAGTATTAGATCGTAGTCCATGGTATTCATTTCTTTCAGAAACATTTTCTGACAGTGACTTAGAATTAGACATTATGAAAAATGGCTTGCTAATGTACTCTTCGCAAGTTTACCAAAGAACAAAATGTGATACTTGATTTGTTGAACCTGCAGTGTGGTGAACCTATAGTTTAAAAATCAGAATTAAAAAAAAAAAACCACTCAATTAAAAAAACAACCAGTCTCTCTATGTAGAATTAATAGTATCACGTATTAGTATCATGTAATAGTATTCATAAGTAAATCATTTTAGTAAAATGACACTTTTTTTATTCTTTTAGATTTGTTTTAAGGTACAGATGATAGAGATTTGTTTCTGTATCAGAGCATTTTGTGTTAATGTTCTTAGTTATAGATGCATAACTTATTTACAATATTTGTTCATAGGGAGGAAGTTTTATTTTGTCCTCATCGGGAAGCCAGCTGGTTCGGCTGATACCTGATAGTTTAGGAAAGATTCATCAACACATTCTGCCTCAAGGACAAGGCATGCTTTCAGGAATTGGTCGGAAGGTCTCTTCTCTTTTGGGAATTTTATCTCCAAGTAGTGATCTCATCGTAAGTTGATAAAATGATTTTGTTTTACAAGCTTGTTTCTTCATGAAATCAATAAGTTGGAAGTTTCCTACGAAGTTGGTATTGCCTCCGTATGAACACTAGCGTATATGAAGTAAAACCTTTGATCTTTTCAGTGAAGCATTTTTATCATGATCAAATGAATTCATACTAACCCTCTCACAAACCCTGTAACTTTAATATTCTTAAATCATACACATTCTCTTATATGTACATTCTTTGCATTAAAAGTGTTATATAAAATTACAAATGTGTTTAAGGACCAGTTTTGCTTTTTGACTTAACCAGAAGTGTGTTCTCCACTCCCATGACTCCGGCTATTTGTGTGGATGACTCAAATCTAGATTTGTCGGCTGGGCTTCTGCCTCAGGCTCTGGAATAGTGAAGGGAGGCAGATGGGAGTGAACCTGGAGCATCTCCTCTCTGCTAGGGGCTCTATATTTGTTATCTCGAGTAATATGATGACCTGTAACGTAGAGCACTTTCTCCTCAGTTTGCAGATGAGGAAATAACCTCAGTGACATTTATGTAAACTGCCTGAGGTTGCACAACTACTCCATGGCAGATACGTGCCCAGGCTTCTTTGATCGAAAGCACATTTTCTTCTCACTGTGCTGTTTCCTTCTTTTTTTTTTTTTTTTTTAAGATTTTATTTATTTATTTGACAGAGAGAGATAGAGAGCCTGAACACAAGCAGGGGGAGTGGGAGAGGGAGAAGCAGGCTTCCTGCTGAGCAGGGAGCCCGATGAGGGGCTCGATCCCAGGACCCTGGGACCATGACCTGAGCTGAAGGCAGAAGCTAAACAACTGAGCCACCCAGGCGCCCCTGCGCTATTTCCTTCTAATTGAGGTTACTCTTATCATCTGCTTTCCTGATGGTCTTCGAACCTACAACCTAACATGTCTGAAAACAAATGGCTCATATTCCCTCTTCTCTCACATTTTCTACACCAAAAGTGTGTATAAAACTCGTTTCTCTTTTGGCCTGTTTATTTCTGTTCATGACCTGTCACTTTTTTCAGTGACCCCGGTATAAACTCTTCATTGTGTGTGTGTGTGTGTGTGTGTGTGTGTGTGTGTGTGTGTGTGTCTCCCCTGCTATAGCAAATTCCGTACTTATCAGGTACTATAGATTTGACTTCTATCATGTCTCATTTTCATCCCTATCTTTTACTTCCATTGTTATGCCCTGATCTGCACTCTTGGTAAATTTCCCCTAAGCTCTTGGTGCCAGTTCAGTTTACTCTCTGTTGCCTCCCTTATCCCATTAGTGGCCAGAAACATGGTGACAGGAGAAATGGAGAAAATCAGGGCTTTAAGTCAAAACAGTCGTGTGCCCAACTAAAAACATAACTGTACTTCATAACCAAGTATATACTTGAAAAGGTGAAATAATCTATCTACAAACTTGCCACTTTTGTTTTCCTATAACACAGCTCTTGAGTTCAAAAGCCATTGATAATATCTTGTTTACTAGGTTTACAAACTCACATTCAGGACTCTGCTGTGTGTCCCTAATTTTTCATTTGAGCATTATTTCTGCTGCTTTTCTAGTTATAGTCTACATTCCAATGTAACAGGACTACTTGTTCTCTGAAAGACCTTATAACTTTCCCACAACTGTACTCTTTGTGGGCTGTCTGCTTTTGTATTTCTGCCTATGGAAATCTTACCTTGCCTTCAAGGTCCATTTTAGGATCACTCCTTTCTTTGAATACTAAACAAAGAATTCTGCTAGGATTACTAATGGAATACTTATAAAATACGTAAAATTTGAGTTTCAGAAAAGTAGTTCATTCACATTAGAACTTAAAAATCTATAAACATAACTTTTTTCATCTCTCCTCTCCATACAGCTTTCAAGTGTCCTCTGGGATAGAGAGAGAGCAAGCTTTTATAGCCTGACAAGTTCGAACATCAGTAAATGGGAATTAGATGATTCTTCAGAAAAACAAGCACATAGTTGGGATATAAGTAGAGCCCTGAAGGAAAACATTACTGATGCTATTTGGGTAAGGAAAAATAATACTCATCTTTGTAATTCACATTTTTGAGTATATGAGAATGCTAGTTTCTTTAATTGTTTTATTTATTAGAACACATTTCAATGCAGTGTAGCTTTTAGCGATCAGATAAGCAGAAATAGGGCGTTCAACCCCTGGAAATATTGGAGCTCACTGATTTACTTAGTAGTTTTTAAAATGCACATATTATTTATTCAATAACTATTTGAACTGTTTAGTAGGTGCTGGGAATACAAAGGTGAAAAGAAATGATCCTTACACTCATGGAGCTTATGTTATTGATATTTTCATATAGGGATCTGAAAGTAACTACGAAGCTATTAAAGAAGGGGTCAACATTCGGTATTTGGATTTGAAGCAAAACTGGTAAGCAATTAGTTTGTCATCAAGAATATAGGTAGTTGTTTGGAAAAATAATGTTTATTGTAAAATGATGAGCAACCTTGCTATCTGTTCTTCTAATGCTATTCTCATCATACTTTTATACCTTACTAAATGGTTTTGTGTCCTTTTCTAGAGATGCTGGTTCATTTGAGAAATATAGGCAGTTTTCAGCTTTCAGCTGCATATTCTTATATTAGTTGTCTGCCCTAGTTCGAGACTCATCTTTCCTGCTCTCATGGCTGGAGCTTTTCTTTCTTCACGCTGAGAGATGCCCTCCCTGCTGCTGTGTGTACTCCATGCTGCCATCCTTCTCTTCTCAGTGGAGATACCAGACATACTTCTCCAGCCCTTTGGCTTTAGTAAGCCTATGTTTGTGGTGATATTGAAGAAAGGAAGGTAGGGTGAGGTTTTATCTTGGCAGTACAAGTGAGAACTCACTCAGGGTTTGTATTCACAGTGAATTTCCTTTTAGAGACAATGCTCTAAGTGGCGCTTAAGATCCTAGGTTAGTCTGATAAAGTTAATTTATCCTGTGTGATTATTTAGTTTTAATACCAAAGGTCATATGGAACTTAAAAACCATTTGTAACATGGCGTCCATGAGAAAGTTCATAATGAGTACAAATATATGACTTGTCATTCTTCAAAACACAACTTACCAGAAGTTAAGAGCAATTTTTATGTGTTTTAGAGTAATTTAGTTTATTTAGTAGAACAAATTCTACTTGTTTTTTGGAAGGATATTGCAGGTCTGTATAATTTTTCTGAGGCTCTTGAGAAAGTAAGATCCTTCTTTATAGTTTCTGAAAACCTTATAGAAACTATCAAAGAGGTAAAAATAATATATATAAAATTTACATAAGTGGTTTAATTAAATATAGTTTATGTGTTTTCATGTATCTTTACCAGACTTTCAGAAATTTAGAACTGCTGCTAGGACACAGTGCATGTGGGCATATGATGCAGACATTTTCACATAGTTTTCAGAATGGAGATGTGGACTGAAAACAGAAGAGAAACGTGCTTAAGAATTGCTGGACTGGGTCAGACACCAGGCTCCTCTCCCCCACTGTTGCCATGCTAACAAGATGCTTGTGGGGCTTATGAGACACAGCTCTTGTTCTCCTAGTGATCCATACAGAGTGTCTGTATCTGCATACCTTTCTTCTATTTAAGAATAGTGTTTGTCTTCCTCATGCTCACTGATGCTCCTTGATCTTTTGCTTGTTTTGGCCGGGTTTGCAACCTAGGCATATATTTTCAGGGAATAGGCTTATAAATTCTTTTACTAGATTATTACTGACACAGAGCTCAGATAGCCTCATTTTAGATGTGAAATTGGATTATTTAAGTCTTAAGTATATTATCTTGTATATACTCATGTAAAAATTTATTGTTAAATTTTTACTGGTTTGCAAAATTTAGATTATCTACCTGTCATCTCTGCTTCCTAAAATTGCTTCATGTTTGTTTTTAAATGTGAAGATGTTTTTATAAAGATGTCAAAAAGAACTGGTCTAGCACCACTCTCTAAGGAATTCTGTTAGACATGTCTCCATGACTCAGTGGCACCCCAGTGATACAGTCTTTAGAGTAACTTCAATACAGAGCCTTATCCTAGGTATAGCCAACTCTGCCTCCCTCCTTGGTACATTCAGGACCACATTCTCTGGGACCTCACTCGGTTTCTTTTTTTGTTTGTCTTTGTCTTTTTGGCTGTACTTTTCATCTCTGACCTGTTTATTTTGTAACTGGAAATTTGCACCTGATAATCCCCTTTATCTATTTTGCCTATCCCCTCAGCCATCTTCCTTCTGGCAACTAAGAGTCTTTTGTTTTTCTGTTTGTTCATTTGTTTTGTTTTTAAGAGTCCACATAGAAGGGAAGTCATACGGTATTTGTCTTTCTGTGTCTGATTTATTTCACTTAGCATAATACCCTCTGGTTCCATCCATGTTGTCACAAATGGTAAAAATCTCATTCTTTTTTATGGCTGAGTAATACTCCATCGTGAGTGTGTGCGTGTGCGTGTGTGTGTACTATATCTTCTTTATCCATTCATTTCCTTGATGAGCACTGGGGTTGCTTCCATGTCTCAGCTGTTATAAATAATGCTGCAATAAACATAGGGGTGCATATATATTTTCAAATTAGTGTTTTTGTTTTCTTTGGATAAATACCCAGTAGTGGAATTATTGGATCATCTGGTATTTCAATTTTTAAGTTTTTGAGAAACCTCCATACTGTTTTCCACAGTGGCTTCACCAGTTTGCATTCCCACCAACACAATGTGAGGGCTCCTTTTTTCTCCACATCCTCACCAGCACTTGTTAATTCTTGTCCTTTTTATTTTAGCCATTCTGATAGGTGTGAGGTGATATCTCATTGTGGTTTTGATTTGTATTTCCCTGATGAATACTGATGTTGAGCATCTTTGCACATGTCTGTTAGCCATCTCTATGTCTTTAGAAAAACATCTATTCATGGCCTCTGCCTATTTTTAAATTGGGTTGTTTGGGGTTTTTGGTGTTGTTGTGTAACTTCTTTACGTATTTTAGATACTAACCACTTATCAGATATATCATTCTTGAAATTCCATTCAGTAGGTTTCCTTTTTGTTTTGTTGATAGTTTCCTTTACTGTGCAAAAGCTTTTTATTTTGGTGTAGCCGCAAGAGTTTGATTTTGCTTTTGCTTGCCTGCGGAGACATATCCATAAATAATGTTGTTAAGGCTGATGTCCAAGAGATTACTGCCTGTGTTTGCTTTTAGGAGTTTTATGGTTTCAGATCTCACATTTAGGTCTTTAATCTATTAGTTCCTTTTTATGCAAAACATTCTTCTATATCCTGTGTTAGCTCTTTAGGTCACTGCCAGTATGTTACAAGTTTGGGCCAGTATTTTTTGTATTCCTTTCAAGAGTCCAAGTAGAAATGAAATGATAAGAGTCCAGGAGCTGGGTGAAGATCACAGTGGAAAAAGAAATGAGAGCCATGTTAAGATTGCTTGATTTGGAGTGATGTCATTTAGTCACTAGCTGGGTTTCATTTTTTTTTTTTTTTCCTGTTTCTTGTTTTTAGTTGTCAGTTTTTTTTTTTAAGATTTTAAGTCATCTCTATTTGGAGTGATGTCATTTAGTCACTAGCTGGGTTTCATTTTTTTTTTTTTTTCCTGTTTCTTGTTTTTAGTTGTCAGTAGAGGGCGCTTGCCCCCCCGTTAATATTTCTGAGACTTGAATGAAAGTTGCTGATAATAAATCCTACTGAATGTTTTGGAGGGGTTGAGATTAGAGACCATTTAATTCTTTGTTGAGGGCAACAGTTTTGGTTTTTTTTTAAGATTTTATTTATTTGACAGAGACCCAGTGAGAGAGGGAACACAAGCAGGGGGAGTTAGGAGAGGGAGAAGCAGGCTTCCCGCGGAGCAGGGAGCCCAATGTGGGGCTCGATCCCAGGACCCTGGGACTATGACCAGAGCCGAAGGCAGATGCTAAACGACTGAGCCACCCAGGCGCCCCGAGGGCACCAATTTTGATAGACTTAAGAGAAACATATAAGCTTTAAGATAGAAAAAGGTTTGTTTTCACATTGAAGTTTCTATAACTGATTGTTAAAATTAGAAACAAAATGTTCCTCCGGACCAGAGTAAGCTTTAAAGAACAGATTAGGCCAGGGTTTGGCAGCCTTTTCTTTGAAGGGCCCCAAACTGACACTTTTAGGCTTTGAGGGCATGTGGTCTTCACTGCAGCTATTCTACTCTTATCAGTAATAGCATGAAAGCATCCATGGATAATACAGAAATGAGTGGGCATGGCTGTATTCCAGTAAAGCTTCATTTATAAAAACTGACTTGGGCACAGTTTGGCCTGAGGGCTATGCTTTGCCGGTCCTGCATTTGATGATTTGTTGATTTTTTTTTAAAAGTCAGCTTTATTGAGCTGTATTTTATCTACAGTAAAATTCACCTGTTTTAGTGTATAATTTAATGAATTGACAAATGCAGACTCATTTGACTGTAAGACACAATCACGATATGGAATAGTTCCATCACCCCCAAAATTTCCTCATGTCCCTTTGTAATCAAACCCTCCTTCACTTTCAAGCCCTGGCAACTATTGATGTGTTTTCAGTCCCTGTAGTTAAACTACATTGCCTTTTTCTGAATGCCCTATAAATGGGATCATACAGTATAAAGCCTTTCGAGATTGGCTTCTTTCACTTAGCATAATGCATTTGATGTGCATTCAATAGTTTCTTCATTTTTACTGCTGAGTAGTGGCACACTCTGTAGAATTACCAGAGCTTGGGGTGCCTGGATGGCTCAGTCGGTTAAATGTCCTGACTCTTGATTTCAGCTCAGGTCATGATCTCAGGGTCAAGGGATTGAGCCCCACATTGGGCTCCATGCTCAGCTCAGAGTCTCCTTGGGATTCTGTCTCTCCTTCTGCCCCTCTCCCCACTTGTACTCTCTTCTCTCAAATAAATAAAATCTTTAAAAAAAAAAAATTACCAGGATTTATCTATTCAGCAGTTGAAGGATATTGGGCTTCCAGTTTTAGGTAATTATGAATAAAACCACCATAGCTATTTGCACACAGGTTTTTGTGTGAACGTAAGTTTTTATTTTTAAATATCTAGGAGTGGGATTGCTAGGTCATATGGTTAATATATGTTTATAAGAAACTGACAGACTGACTTCCAAGAGGTTGCAGATCTTTCTTTTTCATTGATTAGTGATGGGCTCCTGATTTTGGCAGCCGCATGGCACCCAGCAGACAATCCATGTCTCATCTATTACTCTCTGATAACAGTAGAAGATAATGGCCACCAAATGTCTGATGCGGTAACTGTAGAAGTCACTCAGTATAATCCACCTTTTCAGGTAAGATTTCTATCTGTAAATTAAATTACAAATGACAGTAACGTACTGAATTGTTTGTCCTAACCATTGTAGGGTCAGGTTCTTTTGAGAGATTCACCTGGAGGGCTTGGAAATATTTTTAAATAGCTGGTTTTTAGGCATTGCATTTTGTTTGCCATTTTAGAATCATTCCTTTGCACAGCCTTAGCTAAAGAGAGATGAGAGTGGAAGCAGCTGATAGCAAGCAATTGTTTAATATTGTAAATATTGTTGAATAATGATGATGTTCATAAAGAAAAGGCTTAACTGTAAATTCATTTCATTTAGCCTTATATAGTATAGTATCTAATTTTGTTAAGTCTTTATTCTTAATATGACTGTAACTAAATACTGTAAGGAAGTCGTTTAATTTGTCCTTTTGTTTCAGACAAACCTTATAGTTCTGATTATTCAAGAAAAACACGCTCAGTGTTAAGATTTTTCAGGCAATGCAAAAGAGGTAAAGAAATAAAATTACTTCTTTAATAACAAACAGTATATATTTTTAACATTTGCTGATTTCATTTAATTAGGTCGTATTTCTATTTCTGCTTCTGATTTTATATATAAACAAATTAACTCAATTTTCTTGTGCTTGATATCTTCACAGGGAAGTTAGAACCAAAATGTTCACCACGGGTCACTTACAAAGTATTTGCCAATTTTAAATCAATAATAAATTAATCTTTTTGTTTTCTCACACTTGTATAGGCTTTTAGTTAAAATCTTACCACCATGGAATTTTCAAAATTTGCTGATTGTTTACAACTCGACAAAGGATTTCTCTTAATTGATGTTTGTAAACTTAACCTGTCATATTTTGTAAATCATCTAGTGTTTAGGTTTTGACAAGGACAATCTGAATTATTTTATCATTTTTATGAGATAGTGTATAAAAATATAAATTACAAAATTACACAAACAAGTATTTTTGTTTTAATTACCATTAAATGTAATCTGACGTTTTTCAGTCTGAAGACTTGATCGTGTGTCGGTTGATGGTCCCAAACTTTTCAAATCAGACTGCCTATCTGTATACTGAAAGTGCTGTCTATGTGTGCACCACAGGAACTGGGAAGTTTTCTCTTCCTCGGGAGAAAATTGTCTTTAATACACAAGGTACAGTATCAGTTTCAGAAAGGATGATTAATGACTCATTAGTCATTCTTAGCAGTTTTTATTCTCTTTCCGTAAGTGGTGTTTTCAGCATGCCTCCGGGTATTATTGAGACAGTACCAGAGCAGTAGTAGCTGAAGTCACAACCCTACTGAAATATCAGAAGGGTAGTAAAATTCCCAAACTGTTATATTTATGGGCAAAAAAATAGTAATGTTTTCCCCCATAAGAGGCCAGGAAGCAAAACTCTGACACTAAGAAAAGTAATTGCTTATTCCTGGTTAGGTTAATTTATTCTGAGATGATGTTCTTTAAGTAAGTTTGTCCAGACCCCTGGCTAAGAAGAATCCCAGGTGCTGGACTCATGCAAAGGGGCTGGAATGACGGCAGAGAGTGGGGGGAGCCAGTCAGGAGTGAAAAAGAAGCCAAGCAGGCAGTTTAATCAGGATTTTTATCTAAAGAGATCGGGCAGAGGGCAAAATCCAAGTGAGGCAACAGGATGGAACCTAGATTTTCTGGTTTCAACGCAAGAGACTTGACTTTGGGTAGGGAGAATGTTAATAAGGAATTGAGCAAGCTGAGACTTTTCTTCCCTTTTCCATTGACCTACTTAATAAATAAAGATAGAAAGAGGGCAAGAGGACTCCATTGGATTGATAAAGCTGTCATTCTGAGTTTTGCAGAATGAATAATTTTCTTTTTTGGTTTATTATACTCAATGCTATTTGGAAGGCTAGTTTTTATTGTCCCCAAACTGAAGGACACAGAGCCTGCTATTTCAAGTAGCAACAGGTTCCTGACATTTGATCTGGAATTAAAAAGCTGAGTTCAAAGTAGGAGGAATATTGTAAAGGGAAAAAAAAAGTTCTTAGTGTATCAAGATGATTCTCTGCTTCGGGCGGTAGATTTTAGAAAGCATGTTTTTGTTATGTATGTCTGTGTATTTTTCTTTCTTTTAGGAGATAGTATTTTAGGAGCTGGTTCCTGCGGTGGTTTTCCTATCCTTTTTTCGAGAAACAGTGGGTTGGTGTCTATTACTTCAAGGGAAGGTGTGTCCATATTAGCAGAAGATCTTGAAGATTCCCTAGCATCTTCAGTTGCTGGACCCAGCAATGAGGTAACGTGGTTCCATAAGATTTTAAGATTTTTATCAGGGTATTTCCCACAAATGTTTTAGTTTAACAGTTTTAAAAGAGTTGTGATGAAAACATAGTTCTTTTACCTCCCTCATCTCCTTTGTCCTCCTTTCCAGAAGTAGCTTCTTTTAAGTCTTTTAGCTGTTTCTGCTGGTATTTTTCTCCATATTTCTAAGTAATATCATGTGTTGCCATCTCTTAATTCACCAATATTAGACATCTGTTGATTTCCTATTACAGAAGGTAAGGATTTAGGGTAACTTATAGCCCTTCCTCTGCCTTTATCATCCCAATATAAATTTTTTTCCTTTAATGACAGTGTGAATATTACTTATGGTTCACTGAGTCAAGTAATATGTTGATTACATTTCCTTCATTACTCAGCTTTATGTGACTCTTGGAGTGTTTAATGGACTAATTTTATATTTGCTTTCACTCTTAATATCTGGCCCAACTTCTCACAGCCTCCAGGAGCTCTTTAAATGCCCGTCAGTATGGTTTTCCCCATAGTCAAATCTCTAGAAACTCTGCGTCTACTGTCATTTTGGAACTTTCCTTTTCATAGGCCACAAATCCCCACCAGGACCTGTCCCTCCTCCACACACACCAGTTTGCTTGTCTCCTCTCTGCTCTGTCTTCTGCCATTCCTTCTGGTTTCCATCTTCATGTGTTGTAGCTGGAAGCAAAGGTGTTCAGGTGGTTGCCCTTCTTGCTATTGTGGGTTGATTTTGACAGGGAGAGTGGGAAAAAAAAACTTTTTTTTTCTCTCTCATCTTGAAATATGAAATACCCTGATCTGGAGATTTGTATCATTCTCTTACAGGAGACTAAAAATAATATCATTTGGGGTAATTTACACTTGAATAGAATGTGAACTATATAGACTATTTTTATAATTCAAAATTAAAATGACTTGATAGTTTCAACAGAAAGTAACAATTTTTTTTACTTTTATTCCTTTGTAGTCATGTGATTTTTATAATATCGCCTTATGTTCTGAAGCTATGTTAGAGTATTCTACTTCTTTAAAATTTTTTCTAAATCCTTGTTTGAGCTTGAAATCAACCATTATTCTTAGTAATACACAATGAAATGAATTGTGTAAGAGCAAACCTATAAAAGGTTGTGTGGGTTATGAAGAAACCCCCAGATAATTTTACTCAATATATAATCCCTGAATTATATATACCTTTTTAAAAAAAATTGTATGTTGATCCATATTATTTATTTTTATTTTTATTCTAGTGTAGTTAACATACAGTGTTATACTAGTTTCAGATATATAATATAGTGATTCAATAATTGTATGAATTACTTAGTGCTCATTATGATAAATGTACTCTTAATCCCCTTCACCTTTTTCACCCATCCCCACTCACCTCCCCCCTCTGGTGACCACCAGTTTTTTCTCTATAGTTAAGAGTCTGTTTCTTACTTTGTCTCTTTTTTTTCTTTGTTTACTTTGTTTCCTAAATTCCACATATGAGGGGCGCCTGGGTGGCTCAGTCGTTAAGCGTCTGCCTTCAGCTCAGGTCATAATTCCAGGGTCCTGGGATCGAGCCCCGCATTGGGCTCCCTGCTTGGTGGAAAGTCTGCTTCTCCCTCTCCCACTGCGCCTGCTTGTGTTCCAAACCTCTCTTGCCATTGTCTCTGTCAAATAAATAAATAAAAATCTTTTTAAAAAAATAAATAAATTCCACATATGAGTGAAATCATATGGTATTTGTCTTTCTCTGACCGACTTATTTCACTTAGCCTTTACTCTCTAGATCCTTCCATTTTGTTGCAAATGGCAAACTTTCATTCATTTTTATGGCTGAGTAATATTCCATTGTATGTATATATCACATCTTCTTTATCCATTTATCTATTGATGGACACTTGGGCTGCTTCCATAATCTAGCTATTGTAAATAGTGCTGCAATAACCATAGGGGTTCATAATATATTTTTGAATTAGTGTTTTTGTATTCTTTGGGTAAATACCCAGTAGTGGAATTACTAGATCATATGAGAGTTCTGTTTTTAATTTTTTGGGCAATATCCATACTGTTTTCCACAGTGGCTGCACCAGTTTACCTTCTCACCAAAAGTGTACAATGGTTCCTTTTTCATCCACATCCTCACCAACACTTACTGTTTCTTCTGTTTTTGACTTTAGCCTTTCTGACAGGTGTGAGGTGTAATACCTCATTGTGGTTTTGATTTGCATTTCCCTGGTGAGTGATTTTGAGCATTTTTTCGTGTGTTGGCCATCTGGATGTCTTCTTTGGAGAAATGTCTGTTCATGTCTTCTCATTTTTTAATTGGGTTATTTGTCTTTTGGGTGTTGAGTTGTATCAGTTCTTTATATATTTTGGATACTAACCTTTTATCAGATATGTCATTTACAATGAGATTCAGTAGGTTGTCCTTTAGCTTTGTTTCATTTATTTTGCAAAAGCTTTTTATTTTGATATAGTCCCAATAGTTTATTTTTGCTTTGGTTTCCTTGGCCTTAGGAGACATATCTAGAAAAATGTTGCTGCAGCCAATGTCAGAAATTATTGCATTTGCTCTCTTCTGGGATTATTATGGTTTCAGTTCTCACATTTAGGTCTTTTTTTTTTTTTAAAGATTTTATTTATTTATTTGACAGAGAGAGAGACAGCGAGAGCAGGAACACAAGCAGGGGGAGTGGGAGAAGCAGGCTTCCCGCTGAGCGGGGAGCGCGATGCGGGACTCGATCCCAGGACCGTGGGATCATGACCTGAGCCGAAGGCAGACGCTTAACGACTGAGCCACCCGGGCGCCCTCACATTTAGGTCCTTAATCACATTTTGAGTTTTATTTTTATGTATAGTGTAAGAAAGTGGTCCAGTTTCATTTTGCATGTAGCTGTCCAGTTTTCCCAACACCATTTGTTGAAGAGTTGGTCTTTTTTCCACTGCATATTCTTGCCTCCTTTGTTAAAGATTAATTGATCATATAATTGTGGGTTTATTTCTGGGCTCTGTAATCTGTTCCATTGATCTCTGTGTTTTCATGCCAGTACCATACTGTTTTGATTACTACAGCTTTGTAGTATAACTTGGTGTCTGGGATTGTGATACCTCCTCCAGTTTTTTATTTTTCAGGATTCCTGTGGTTATATATACCTTTTTGATAAGACTTTAGTCGATCATTTAGTCCATTTTATCTTGTTTCAGTAAATGTCTTAAGTAAACTGCTGGTATATGAAGAACATGGTAAATAGCTTATGTGTCTGTGTTGTTGCTGTCATAGGTGGGTCCGGTTTTTAGTCCAACAATTCAGTATATTCTGATACCTTCACCTCTAAATTACAGTTTTTTATTTGACAGAGTATGGTTTTTGAGGCTTCTACAAAGAATGAAACCATTGCCCAGGAGGATAAAACCAAATTGTTAAAAGCTGCTTTTCTGCAATACTGCAGGTATGAAAAGTTTTTTTTTTTTTTTAAAGATTTTATTTACTTGAGAGAGAGAGAGAGAAACAGCATGAGAGGGGAGAGGGTCAGAGGGAGAAGCAGGCTCCCCGCTGAGCCGGGAGCCTGATATGGGACTCGATCCCAGGACTCCAGGATCATGACCTGAGCCGAAGGCAGTCGCTTAACCAACTGAGCCACCCAGGTGCCCAGTATGAAAAGTTTTTAAATGATGGCTTAATTTATTTTATGTCTGAGGACATTTTACTGATATATGCTACTTATTTGTTGACTGGTGGGAGCAAGGTGGAGGAATGATACCACAAAAGAGAAAATGTTTTTCTGAGCTTCTCAGTGCTTTAACAAACTTATTCTGAACTTGGTAGCCACAAGAGGCTTCCAGTTAGTCTAGGAAAAACATGATGTAACATACCCTCTCCACTTAATGGATAACAATGTGCTATTAAAAATAGTGATCATGAAAGACATCTAGCAAGCATGTTTTATGTATACTGTGAAGGCAAATAAGTTGCATACAAAGGTTTATTGATGTTATAAAGAAATTAGACTTGGCCTATTCATTGGGTTTTGTTGCATACAAAATCACCAGAGAACATAGTGGCTTGTTTAATACAGCTCATGATTCTGCCGTCTGGCTATTTGGGGTTGGGCTCAGGTGGCCATTTTATGGTTCCCATCTGGATTCACTGTCCATGATCAGCTGCCAGCCATCCCAGCTAGACTTGCTCACATTTTGGGGGCTCTGGTCATTTCTTTGCTCATGTGCCCTCTCATCATCTAGCAGGTTTACATATCTCAGAGTTCCAGGAGTGGCAAGAGAGTAAGCCTCAGTGTACAAGTGCTTTTCCAATCTCTGCTTGGGTCATATTTGCCAATATCCCATTGGCCATAGCAAGTCACAGGGGCGAGCCCTCCCCCCTGCCCCCCATCTGCTGATAGGGAGTGTGCATATGGAAGGGGAATGATACTCAGTTTGCCACACTTGCTGACCTGATACTTCTGGTTTTAAAGCCAATTCAGTCATTTGTTTGTCCTACACATTTATTCTGCATATCCTGTACCTTCCTTAAAAGGTATAGTAAATTCACATTTGAATGAACACTAAGGAAAATTGAGATCTAGCCTTTGCTCTGCCCCAAGTAGCTGTGTGAGACTTTGGACAGATTGCTTAACATTTCTGGAATTTTGTTTCTTCCTTTGTGAAGTGTTGAGTGGGGTGTCCGTTGGACTGTATGAAGGATCATTAGTTTATCTGGCAGATCTTTGTTTTAAAGTTATATTCAGAGTTTACTACCTCCATATCGCCCAGTTCTCAGCTTGTGATCCCATAGTCTCACTCATATTGGTTTTTGATGCATAGGAGCTCACTCCCACAGAAGGGATAGCAAGTAAAGTTTTACAATTCTGTGCCATCAGGGCACCTGAATGGCTCTGTCGGTTAAGTGTCTGCCTTTGGCTCAGGGCATGATCCCAGGGTCCTGCAGATGAGCCCCACATCAGACTCCCTGCTCACCGGGGAGTCTGCTTCTCCCTCTCCCTCTGCTCCTCCCCCTGCTTGTGCACTCTCTCTCTCTTTCAAATAAATAAAATCTTAAAAAACACACACACAATTCTCTGCCATCATAATGATCTACTGAGCTTAGTTTCTCATCCAGAAGAGGGCACCATTAGACAATTTTTTTGATTCTGTTTTTAAAATATATTCTTTTAGGGGAGCATGGGTGGTTCAGTCGTGAAGCGACTGCCTTCGGCTCAGGTCATGATCCCAGGGTCCTGGGATTGAGCCCCGCATCAGGCTCCCTGCTCCGCGGGAGGCCTGCTTCTCCCTCTCCCACTCCCCCTGCTTGTGTTCCCTCTCTCGCCATATCTCTCTCTGTCAAATAAATAAAATCTTAAAATATATATATATGCTTTTAATTTTACTCTATTGCATGGTGTTCAGTCTTACTGCCAAGATTTGGATTAAAATACTCTGATCCTGTCTTGTGTAAGTTGGTCCTTTAACAATTTTGACAGACCTGTGGCATCTGAAAATTTAAATGATAATGGAGCAAGTTACTGTAGTCCTTATATTAGTTTCCTGTGGCTGCTGTAACAAATCACTACAAACCGGGTGACCTCATAGAACTTTATTCTGTCACAGTTCTGGAGTCCTGAAATCCAAAATCAAGGTATCAGCAGGGCCATGCTTCCTCTGACAGCTCTAGGGAAGAATCTTTGCTTGCTTCTCTCCTAGCTTTTGGTGGTTGCTGGCAATCATCAGCATTCCTTAGCTTGCACGTGGATCACTCCATTTGCCTCCCTTACCACATGGCCTTCTTCCCTGTGTGTCTGCCTTTACATGTCCTTCTAATAGTGACACCAGTCATTGGATTTAGAACCCACCTTAATTCAGTATAACTTCATCATAACTTAACTGATTATATACTCAAAAACCTTATTTCCAAATAAGGTCACATTCTGAGGTTCTGGGTGAATGTGATTTGGAGGGATGCTGTTCAACCCCATATAGTCATTTCTAAATGTTCTATAGGGGAAGATTATTAAGCACGAAGAGGAATCCCCTGATCTGAAATCCTGAGAGTATAGTAACCTTAGGAATAGGGTCATGGATCTCTAGCACAGCTGTGCCTTCAACTTACCCTGTGAGGTTAACAAGTAACCATTTCTGGGGTGGTGTGAACCTATTAATAGTCTTAAAGAATTGGACTCTTCACAAGTGGAATCATACTTTCAAAGCAGGGTTTTGCTTCCTCATCACTGTTGACATTTGAAGCCATACAATTTTTTATTGTGAGCTATCCTGTGAATCGTGAATCATAGAATGTGTAGCAGCCATCGCTGGCCTCTTCCCACTTGGTGCCAGTAGCATCTTCCCCCAACTTGTGACAACCAAAATTATCTTCAGACATTGCCAAATGCTCCCTGGGGGTTGAAATGAGTAGATTGCATTCAAAAACGTTCTGTGTTTAGTTTTTTGCTAAGGTTAATATTGCTATTTCTATGGCATGGTTTCTTTGAAATTAATTTTTATGTTATTTTGATTTTCACTTGACTCAATATAAATATAAGATCTTTTGCTCATGAGAGCTTTAAGAAACTTATTCTGTTAATTGAAATAGTTAATTATTGATTATCGTGCCATAGTCAACTTTGTATTCCCATAACCTGTAGCATAACCAGGCTTCTAGCTTCAGCTTGGCCTAACACTTTTAGTCAGTTTTTCTATGTTTCTCTATTCAGTTCCTTCTCTTGTTCTACCAAGAGTTCATTTCAGTGCTTTCCTAACTCTCCTCCACCTTTTCCATTTCTCTGCCTCTTCTCCCATACCTAGCAAGAGGACTCAGCCTCCTACTTCACAGAGATAATAGAAGCCATCAGATAGCAACTCCCTGGACTTAATACCTACAAACTTACCTGAGCCTCAACTATTTTTCCTCTTTTGTTCCCTATAAAGTAGGAAGGGGTGTTCTTTCTAAGAAGAATCCCTGTCTTTTTTGGTTGTTTTAAAGATTTTATTTATATGTTTAGAGAACGTGTGCGCGAGCGAGCAGAAGGGAGGGGGAGAGGGAGAGAGAAAATCTCAAGCACATTCCCTGCTGAGCACAGAGCCTGACATGGGGCTTGATCCCACAATCCTGAGATCACGACCTGAGCTGAAATCAAGAGTTGGATGCTTAATCAACTGAGCCATCCAGGCGCCCCTCTTTGTCCTTGTTTTGAATGCCACAGTCTCCTGCTTCTCTTGAGACTATGTGTTTTGTTCTTCCTCTTCTGTATCTTTGACCTCTCTTGTGCTGGGTTCTTCTCACCAGCCATGAATCATATTTACTATGTCATTTAAAAAAAAAACCAGGGGCAGGGCGCCTGGATGGCACAGTCAGTTAGTGTCTGACTCTGAGTTTTGGCTCAGTCTGTGACCTCAGGGTTGTGAGATGGAGCCCCCTGTTGAGCTCCATGCTCTGTGCTGAGTCTGCTTGGGTTTCTCACTCTCCCTCGGACCCTCCCCCCACTGTGATCTCTCTTTCTCTCTCAAATAAATAAATCTTAAAAAACAAACAAGCCAGTCTTTGACTTTGTGTCCCCCTTTGATCTCCCACCCCTTTTGTTTGTTCCTGTTTATAACGAAACTGCCTGAAAAGTTGTCTACCTTTGCCGTTGTCTATCATAATTTCTTTCTCTACTCCCTGATTTTTTTTCTCTTTCCTTGACCTCATTTGCCAAAGAAACACCAATCTACCATGCTCTAGGCCATTATATACAAATGTTCCAAAGCAGTTGTATATTCTACAGGCATCTCAGTTTCGACATACCCACAGCCCTGCTTGTCTTCTCCAAAGCTTATTCTTTCTTTTTTACCTGCTGTTTCTGCCACTGGCAAAAATGTCCTACCATAATCCATTCAGTGTCAGAGCAAAAATATATCAGATCCAAGGAGTTGCCAGTATTTACCTTATATCTCTCTTTTTTCCCCAAACCTGGCTACTTGTCTCCATTCTCCTCTGCAGCTACTGCTAGTGGAGACTCCCTTCTTCTCTTGTCTGAATTTCTGCAATAACTTCTTAACTGGGTTTTTCTTGCTCCTGTCCAATCCCCTATTTCCTTATCATAAAATGATCTTTTGAGAAAATAGAACAGATCATGACACTTTCTTCTTAGTGCTTAAGAAGTGCCTTCTTAGGCCTTCTGGTGCCTAGAACTCCATAACATGGTGTATGACGTTTTATGTACTCTGTCCTTTAATTGGTGGTGTTTCTGAGAGTCTGCCCTGGAAGCCTTCTTCCCCCTTTCTTCCCTGGGCGATCTCATCCTCCCCATGGCTTCAGTTCTTTGCTAAGATACAGACATACTTACACATGTGACGTGTGCTCTCTGCCACCGTGTGCCCCTCCCCATAGTCCCCTCAGCCTCGCTGCTCCTCTTCCTTAGCTGTAGGCCTCTGCTTATGCACCTCTTCCTCCAGGAAGTTTTCCCTGCCCCTCAGAAAGTCTTGGTTTCCCTTCTGTGTGCTCTGTAGCAAGCGCTCTGTTCTTTTTCTGTCACAGTGTACGTGTAACTACTTGTTTAACTCTCTGCTCCTTGTGACACTGTGTCCTTTGTGAAGTCTTAGAGTGTTTTTTAATGTCTTGTCATTCTGCCTCCAGTGCCTAGCATATTGTAAGTACTCAACATGTATTTGTTGAATTAATAAATGCGTAATAGTTGTATCCCTTTTAAATAAATGTTATTAAGAGTAGTTAACTTTGGGGCACCTGGGTGGCTCAGTTGGTTGAGCGTCTGACTCTTGGTTTCCACTCAGGTCATGATCTTGCTGGTGGTGAGATTGAGCCCCACGTGGGGCTCTGCGCTCAGCGGGTAGTCTGCTTGAGATTCTCTCCCTCTTCCCTTCCCGCATGCTCGTTCTCTTTCTCTCTCTGAAATAAATAAATCAGTCTTTTTTTAAAAAGATAACTTTGGACTAAAATAGGGGACTGTTCCAGTTAACTTTTTCTTTTTTAAAAGATTTTATTTATTTGAGAGAGGGGGAGAGTGAGCATGAGAGAGAGTGAGCATGAGCTAACATCAGCGGGAGGAGAGGCAGAGGGAGAGAGAAGCAGACTCCCCGCTGAGTAGAGAGCTGGATGCGGGGCTTGATCTCAGGACCCCAAGATCATGACCTGAGCTGAAGGCAGATGCTTAACCCACTGAGCCACTCAGGCACCCCTGTAGTTAACTTCTTCATGGTGAATTTTGAAAATGGTTTGCCTCCTTTAATATTTTTATTTTCCAATTTTATTTCAGAAAAGATCTAGGTCATGCTCAAATGATGGTTGATGAGCTCTTTTCCTCCCACTCTGATTTGGATTCTGATTGTGAACTAGACAGAGCTGTTACCCAAATCAGTGTAGATTTGGTGGATGACTACCCAGCCTCTGACCCACGATGGGCTGAGTCTGTCCCTGAGGGTAAGAACTTTTACTTTTCATATTATGGAGTGATCTGTTTTGAGAATATTCTGGTTCTTTTATTAAAGCATCTCTCGAAGCATGTTTTTTTAGTTTTTGTATTTATTATTTTTTAAAAGGTTATAACTTACAGTAGATTTTGAAAAGGGCTCAGAACAGATCTGCAGGATAAAAACTGAAGGAGTATTGGAGCAAATCCTGCTTGTTCTATGTGAAGCAGACTAACTAGCCCTACTTAGCTTTCTCACCATTTTATTTCTAAAAGGAAATTGGTGGCATAGGTAAGCATTTGGCACCTATTAGCTCCCAAATTAAATGACAGTTTTGGTATAATCACTGTACTTGCCTAATAGAAATTATACATTTCCCTGAGAGTGGCAATGAGCAAATCTCCATATATAGAAATGGACATATCATGTTTCTGCCCTGGGTGACTGTCCTTCTTAACACTTCCACCACAGCATCACGGGCACTCGGTATTCCCAGGTACCAGCAAACTGTCTCAAATGTCCATTTCTCTCTCTAAATTCCTACTTAGCAAGTTTGCTAAACCTCATTAGAGGGTTAGGAAGGAAACATCAGTGCTTACCTTTTTTCTTTGACTTCATTTTGAGCTGGCAAGCTTAGAATGATATAAATGATTAACAATAACAGGGTTTGTGTTTTGAATAAATATGGTATGACTCCCAAAATTTTCCTCTAAATTTTTTAAACTCTTGGGTAATGTTACAAATAGTTGCATTAAAAGATTGGTAGTTTCCTTTGGTATATTTTTTAACTTTTTATTTTAATAGCAGTAATTATTGTAAAGCTAGTATGTTGTGTGTTTAAATTTTGTTATTGTTTCAACAGAAGCACCTGGATTTAGCAATACATCACTGATTATTCTTCACCAGCTAGAAGATAAGATGAAAGCCCATTCTTTCCTTATGGACTTTATTCACCAAGTAAGCATCCTAGTTGCTATGGACAGGGATGGCCAGGACACCAGGCTTTACTGTGTCTTTTGTCAGCTCTCTCCATGATAATGGGAGATCCTTTCTTATTCTGAGGTGTTTTGTGAGGTCGGACATGACTAGTGTTTTCCATTTTCTTTGCTGACTTCAAAGTAGGAAAGTCCAGGGCTGGTGGGGGAGAGGGAGCTATTCAAGTATAAAAGCTGCACGGAAAACAGACTAAAAAGAAGAAAAACAGTGTATTTCCACAGAAATGTTTCATCTTTATTTTAACATTCTTTGATACCTATGTGCTTTTAAGTAAACTTGGGTTTTCATGAATTGCCTTTGTATTATTGAAAAGATAGTGAAGAATATTAAGGCGATGACAGATTTTGATATATGGGTTTATAGTTTTGAAGTGCCATTAGAATCGATTCCTTATTTAAAGTTTGTGGTTTTTTGTTTTGTTTTTAATGGAGTATCCTCATTTATATTGGGCCTAAAATTAGAATATGTTTTTACTGCTAGACAGAATTGTTACACAGTGTCACCCATCTCTGCCTTGTTGATCAGTAGTGGCTCCCAGGCATATTATATATCCAAATGAATGCATTTAATCCCACTTTCGCTTACTTTTTCCAAAATCAGTAATGCCTTCATGTTAAAGAGATTCTGATGCTGTCTAATAGAACTTTCTGTGGTGATGGGAATGTTCTATATCTATGTTACTCAGTAGCCAGTAGTCACAGGTGGCTGCTGAACACCTTTGGTGGATAGTGGCTACCTTATTGGACAGTGCAATTCTAGATGATTCCAGAAACACCTTGACTGTTCTTAATTCCACATTCTGCTTCAGTTGTAATGTATGGTTTGGCTCCTGTCTACTTTTATTGCCTTGGCAAGGGCACTCCAATCATTCAAGTCTCTCTCCTTTTTTTTTAAGTGGTTTAGATAGACTACAAATTAATGGGGGGAAAACACAACATTTTTCTTCTGATGTAATTGTTTATTTAGTCAAGTGTATCAGTTAACTATTAATACCTAACAAACCACCCCAAAATGTGGTGGATTAAAACATTTCTTTCGGGTACCTGGGCGGTTTTTCTGTGAATTTTAGCTGGGGCCACTCCTTGAACTGCATTTAGGGTAGGCTGAGCTGGAAGGTCCCCAAGCTTCTCTTGCCTGACATTTGATGTCAGTTTGTCAGCTGGGCCACATGGTTCTTCTCCTCCACTTAGTCTCTAATCCTCCTTTAGGCTGCACTGGCTTCCTGTGGTCTCAGGGCAGCCCTCATGGGGATGACCTTATTTTTTGGGGGGGGGGGGGCGGGGGGGATGAACTTAAAAGCTGTAGTCTTCCTCAGGTCTTACGTTAGATGTCACAAAATGTTGCTTCCACCAAAGTGACATTGGTCAAAGCAAGTCACCAGGCCAGCCCAGATGAAAAGGATTGAGAGATGGATTCTACCTCTTGATGGGAGGAGTGCCAAAGTCATGTTGCAGGAGGATGTGCATACTGGGATGGAAGGAGTTCATGCCTTAATATGCCACACCAAGGACACACTAATTTATCAGAGGGTTGAGAGAGCCATGGACCAGGAGTGGTTGCCGTATCTCTTGGCACAGCCTCCCCAGGCTTCAGAAACCCTGCTGGAGTCATTCAACTCTTGGAGGCAGTGTCCATTGCAAGGTAATATCTAGCTGGATCTAAAAATCCCATTCTGGCTGTGCCTTTATGTTTGAATTACCTTTAATATTTTAGAGCATATTATTGTTAATTATTATTAATGTAAATAATTGTATAACCAGATACTTGTATCTAAAGAAATACTTTTTTTTTTTAAGATTTTATTTACTTATTTGTCAGAGAGAGAGAGAGAGAGAGAGGGAGAGCACAAGCACGGGGAGGGGCAGAAGGAGAGGCACGCTCCCCGCGGAGCAAGGAGCCCGATGTGGGACTCCATCTCAGGACCCCGGGATCATGACCTGAGCCGAAGGCAGATGCTTAACAACTGAGCCACCCAGGCGCCCCTAAGGAAATACTTCTGAATATGAGGCTCTCCTCCTCAAGCCAGACTCTATGCCAACAAGGCCATATCTCGTGCTAAAGAGGATGAGAATTAATATCCAGGCCTCAGGACAGTGCCTTTGCCTCCAGTTTTCTGGCACTGAGGGAAGCATATGTCCTCACACGTAGTGCGGAGAGGCTTAGAGGGAGGGTGTTACTGTGCTTCTCTTTGTCTTGGGGCCCGAGTGAGTTCATGTGTAGACATCACTTCACTGGCAGTGCTGCCGCGCTGAGGCAAGCAGAATTCCCTCATGTAAAAACTGCATTTTCAATATTTATGAGGGAACCAGGAAGAGAATTCAAATCAGAAAAGACAATGCAACTCTTATTTTAAAATAACCGGGTGAATGGGGTGAATAAGATTGATTCAGCAACCTATTCCATGGTCTTTAAAAATAATGAGGAAAAAAAAAGTGTATCTAAATGTGTTGTGAAAAAATAAGATGCTATCAAAACAAGGTACAGAACAATACATATAGTGTGACCCCTTTGTGTTAAAAAAAAAAAAAAAATGTCTCCTAGCATATGAATGCCACAAAAGCATATAAAGATAGCAGGGAAATTTAACTGCAGCTCCAGTAGGGAATGGGCTGGGGACTTTTACCTCTCCATACTATTAAGTTTTCTAACCAGCGTGCAAGCCAGGCTCTCCGCTTTCGCCATGGACAATGTGGTGGAGAGATTTCCAGAATGGTGACCTACCACAATCTTGGTCAGTTCTCCCTTTATCTTGTGTTCTATGAAGGAAAAGCAGGAGGAGGGTTCCAGTTCTCTTTGCAACATGGGGAATCAAAGGTGGCAGACCAAGTTCAACTGAGGGTTCTGGTGTCCATATTATGCCAGGCAAGCCCTGCACTGTTGGTTGAGCCTCAGGAGGGTAGCGTGTTGGGAAGAGATGCCTTTGTTAAATGTTTTGTATTCACTTTCATGGGTCAGAGCTTCACACCCTCTTTCCTGGCTTTGGTATTCATTTGGGATGGTAGCTCCTGAGAGCCTTGAGGTCTAACCTACAGTATTATCCTTCATTCTGGCCCCAGTTTATCAGACCCACTCTCTTTTGGTTGTGTTCTCTGAAGGAAGGGTTCACGTGTGCTGTCCTCTTAGTTGATAGTCTTTATATATAATTGCTGTAGATTCTCAGAAGTCAGGGTGCAGCTTTTCTTTGAGCAGCTTCATGAGTGAATTCAGCAACAAAGTGGCAAGAAATGGTTCTCCAGCCAAGGGAGGTCATGTTCATCCTCTTATTGTCCAGAGTCTCTGCTCACAATGGCAGTCAGTGAGAGATGCTGCTGGGCGTGGCACCCTGGGCACACAGCATTTGCATGTCAGGTCACAGTGTAGAAACCATCTTCTTGGGTGCCTGGGTGGCTCAGTCGGTTAAGCGTCTCTCTTTGTTCAGGTCAGGATCTCAGGGTCCTGGGATCGAGCCCCATATCAGGCTCTCTGCTCAGCAGAGAAGCCTGCTTCTCTCTCTCTCCCTCTGCTCTTCCCCCTGCTTGTGCTCTCTCTCTGTCTCTGTCAGATAAATAAATAAAATCTTCAAAAAAGAAACGGTCTTCTCTCATTTAGAAAAAATGAAAGAGCGTTTTTGCACAGAGAAAAAGGGAAAAGACCCATGAATGTCATCTTTTATCTTTTGTTTTCAGTTGGCTGATATTGCAGTTTTTGTTCTTGACACACATGTGTGAACTACACTTCCAAGACACAAGTTGTTTTGGCTTTTTGCTGTAATTACCTCTTGTTCCTCCATGATTCTGATATTTGTTGTATGGGAAGCAGCCTTCTCCTGGGGCTTCCCATTTACACACTGTAGGGCTATCTTTATGCTTTTAAAAAAAAGAAGAAAGAAGACTGTCACTAACCTCATGGGGGATTTGTAGAAAACCATTTTAGCCCATTTAGCAAAAGGTAGATTCCTTATTATTTCCTTAAGCTCATTGTAATAAAAGAAACCTAATTCAGAAAAAAAAAAAAAAGTTTTCTAACCATGTGTGTTTTTTACTCATGTCGTAGGACTTCTCTGGGGATTTGGGGCATTGTTTATTTTGTTTACTGTGTACTTTATTTAAAATAAACCTCAACATACAAAAATCAAGTCACTCAGCAATAAAGTGTAGAAGAGTATTCCGTATTTAGATGTGTCTGTTGGCTTCTTCCTAGTTGGGATGTTGATGCTTTCTCAGATGAGAAAGCTAAGAGGGACCGCCAGAGTAACGTCAGAGATGGGCATCAGGCACAGGTGGGAGTGCAAGGGAGCACGGACTCTCCCCCGCTTCCTGTGACTTTAAGGTTTTGGAAAGTAATCTCTGAAGATTGAGACTGCGGAGTGTCTAGTTCACAAAGATCTAGAATCTTGGGGAGTTAGGTAGAAAAGAACAATTTTACGCTTTTGATAACCATAAATAATGAGAAATAAGAGTAGTGGAATGACCCTAATCTCAGAAGAGGAACATTGGTACTTACATAGGGGCTAGTGGCTCTGGCTGAAGTTGTGTGTGTGTGGGTGTAAAACGGTGGAAAGGAGAAGATAGTTGAGGTGCTTTCTGGGGGACACCTAAGGCCAATGGCTCTGTACCCATTGTGCTTCTGGTGGAGATAAGCCTGCATTATTTCATGTGTTACTGTAAATGTTTCCTAAGAACATGTGTTTGTATTTTCCCCAGGTTGGCTTATTTGGACGTCTTGGCACTTTTGCAGTAAGAGGGATGCCCATGGCAACTCGACTGTTGCTCTGCGAGCATGCGGAAAAGTTATCAGCCGCCATTGTTCTCAAGAACTACCACTCCAGGCTCTCGGACCTGCTGAACACAGCAATAATGATTGCTTTAAACAAGAGGGACTGTGAAATCCCATCCAACCTGACTCCCGCAGATGTCTTTTTTAGAGAAGTAAGAGGAGTTCTTTTGCCTTTAACGTGGCTTTGTAGAGCTATGCCATTTGCTGATCATGCCTCGAACAGGGAAAAGATGGAGCACAAAAAAATCTCATTGAAATTTTAAATAGGACTCCATGTTTATTTAGCACATTCCCTGTAAGTTAGAGCTTGCAAAATTGACTAAGTCTTCTCTACTGTCTGCTGGATGTTTTCCTTTTGCCTCTCCAAATCCACTCTTGACGCTGCCCCCTCTAGAGGGCATCTCGTCAGTTGGTTCCTTTGCCCTCCTGTTGTCTTTGATAACGGTGAGGCACTATCAGGCCGGGAGTGGTTATCTATTATTATTTGTTCTATCTGTTATTCCCTCAGCCTCGTTCCTTTCCTGCTTCCACTGCAGTTTGCTGTGCCTTCTGTCAGAGACTGCGGCTTCTTGCCGGCTGCTCTCCACATTTCCAGTAACTGCTTCCACCCAGTGCCCCTTCATGCCTGGCCTTCGTAGTGGCTCCCCTGTTGCTAGCCCTGGATGCTGCACCTTCCTCCGTAGATCCCCTGGCCCCTGCCAGCACCACCACCCTTCACTAAACTCTGCTCGTTACCTGCTAGGATCCTACTATCTACCTTGCTTTTAAAATCATTTATTTTCCAAGGAAAAGAAAAACCCGCTATAAACGTCAGAGGAAGAAAAGATTAAGATGCTGGCCAGCTAGTGGCAGCTGACTATTGTGATAATAGCATATAGCTCTTCTGCGACTTCTTACAACCTCATGCAGGGTCAGGGAGACTTTACTCCCTCCCTGTAATTGTTTTTTACATTTGGGGAACTTTTAACTCTATTTTCTCAGTTTCATTTTTATTTCCTTCCTACCATAGTCTAGCTGTAATCTAGCATCTAACAGGCTATGCCAAGAAGTCCTTTTTTCTTTTTAATACAGTTGACCCTTGAACAACATGCCAATCCCCTTGCACAGTGGAAAATCTGTGTATAACTTCTCACTCTCCAAAAACATAATTACTGGGGCGCCTGGGTGGCTCAGGTCATGATTCCAGGGTCCTGGGATCGAGCCCCGCATTGGGCTCCCCGCTCTGTAGGAAGCCTGCTTCTCCCTCTCCCACTCCCCCTGCTTGTGTTCCCTCTCTCGCTGTGTTTCTCTCTGTCAAATAAATAAATAAAATCTTTAAAAAAAAAAAAAACTACTAATAGCTTACTGTTGACCAGAAGCCTTACCAATAGTTGAATTAATACACATTTTGTATGTTACATACAGTATTACATACTGTATTCTTAAAATAAAGGAAATGTTAAAATTTACATAAGGAAGAAAAATTCACAGTACTGAATTCACAGTACTGTACTGTATCGAAAAACATATGTGCATCAGTGGGCCCGTGCAGTTTAAACCTGTGTTGTTTAAGGGTCAGCTATGTTTCATGTACTGTAACCTAAAAATAATTTAAGACACTGAACTATGTTCAGGTTTTCTGTTGATTCCATAAACGTATTTAGTTCTAAGAATGCCTTGTTCTTACATATTTGGGTTAGTTTTTTGTCTAAGGATGTAAGGCAAAGCACTTTTTTGTTTTATTTTGTTGTTGTTGTTTTTTAAATCTAGGAAATATCCCCAAAATCTTAATGAAAGAAAGAAAAACAGTTTCCCTCAAATTCCATCATCTAACCAATCTGAAAGGAAATCTATGCAAAGCCCTCACTCCCCCCAGCTCCGGCCAAGCTTACAGACAAAACTCACGGGTGTCTGCACTTGGCCCTAACTCTGTTGTGTAAGAAGGGGAGGAGAGTGATGGTGTCAGAAATAGAAGTGCGCCAAGAAGGGCTACAGAGGAGAAGGTCACCTACATATTGGATAAGAGTACCATTTGGGAGGGAGAGGTTATCTGATGCCAGAGCTTGTCCGAGGAGGTGGGGGCTGTCCCTAAAACCCTGCAGGAGGACTGTCCAAGTTAACTGTTGGGAGTGTCAGGTGTTGGGGTCAGTCCAGGGAAAGGTAAAAAGGTCTTGGGATTCTGGGGAGATGGGAACAATGGAGAATGCATCCTTGAGGCCTAAGACAGTAATGTACATGGTGGGGGTGGAACAGTGGGGAGAGGGTGTATGGATTGGGGCTGGTGGGTGGATAGGGAAAACCGCTTCGTCGATAATTCTGAGATCCTGAGCAAGTCTATAACAACCGTCTGGCTTTTTTTTTTTTTTTTTTAAGAAGTCTAGGGAATCCCTTCATATTTATTAATATACTCAACTTCCATTTATTTTAATTCAGTTCAGTTGCATTTGGATAATTTTTTAGACTTCAGTAGAATCAGGTGCTAATAAAAGACTCATGAAGGTTACTTGTAAAGTTCTGTTTTTCCCTTCACTCAGCATATCTGTTTATCTGTCTTTTCTATTAGAAGTATAAAGAACTTCAGTGAATAAGCTATATTTCCTATCTCATCCTTGAATCTGGACTCATGATTTCAAGTGAATTTGGAATTTATAAACTTTTAGAGTTAACTGATACCAGCAATTGTTTGGTATCTCTGATCTTAAATTCTGGTCTGGCATATGCCTTTAAAATCTTATTCAGTCTCTTTGAGTAACTGTTGAAACCAAATTTATATTCACTTATTTTCTGCCCTGAAGATGCTAATTCCCTCATCTGTTGGGTTACCCTGCTTGTTCCTGTTATTTTAACTAGATAACTCTAAGCTTCCTTAACTTTACCTGGCTATTATTAATCTTTAATCAGGAGAAAAAAATTAAAGTGAAATAAGTTGCATTTTATTTTCTCCCTTATCTCTGGGTTCCTGTTTTAATGACAGTCATTTTGCAATAATGGCTTATAACGGAGTTCACTTTCAGTAAACTCCTGACCACCTCTTTAGCTGCTAAAATGTCTCACACATTTTGTCACTGAGTCATTTCAGAGCTGTCTCCTTTTTGTTTCTAATATATGTTTTTTTTCTATGTGAATACATCTCCAAAGTTATTGGGTTTCTGGAAACATAAATAAAGAGCAGATGGCTGCTCACACCTTATGACAAATACGTTGGAGACAGAGGACTTTCCTCATGTCCCTTATGGTCAGCATGTTAGCTCTCATGTGGTGGACATCTGTGGCTATTTGAAATAGGCCTTGCTGCTGTTTTGGAGTCTCTCAGGTCTGGTCAGTCCTCTTGATAGTAGCTTATTTTTAAGGGTTTCTCAGTTATTTATTATTCTGGAGCTCAGATTCCTCTTCCATGCTCACGTGGTTGTTGGCAGCATTCATTTCCTTGCTGGCTTTTAGCCAGAGGTTGTTCTCAGCTCTTAGAAGCCATTTTCATGACACCCTCCCGCCACATGCAAAAGGAAAGGATTATACAGGGCATGTGCTTTAAAGTTGGGAATCCAGAGGGCCATCTTAGTGTCTACCACTAAAATAATAGGAGGCGATAAGGTGCGTATTTCTTGTTTCTTTTTTCCATCTTCATATGTGTCTGGATTCTTTTCCTCCTTTAGTTTCATAAAAGAAAGATTCTTTATTCTAAGTTTAAATTCTTCCCCCAGGTCTTTCCCACCCCTCTTTCAATTCACTCTATTAGACCTGCTTGTGGTCCCACTCACACTCTTGTATTTTCATTTTCCCCTGTTTATTTGGTCCTTCCTTTCAACTTGCATGTTGCCTAGTCCTCAGTTCTTCTCTGAAGTAAATCTGCCTTTTCTATAGCTCAGGTTTAAGTCCACTCTTTTTTTGCAAACGGGTAATCTTCCTGTCTCTGGCCCTCCCTACTCTCATCTACGCAGAACCGTATGGCTTTTTGACTAGAAGGATTAGAGTACTGTAAGGAGAGTTAGTAGGTTTATTAGAGGAAAGGAATTTGGAAATGGGGGTTGTAAACCTCTCAGGGCCTCAGGTTTGAGAGATTATTGGGGTTTGAAGGGGAAAAGGTAGGATCCTTAAGGTGTATAGATTCCTTTCACAATCACACTGTTGTAACTTTTGTGTTCTTTTTTAGTCTTTGTTCATGCACACTTTTTTTTTTTTTAAGATTTTATCTATATGTCAGAGAGAGAGATCACAAGCAGGGGGAGAGGGAAGAGGGTCAGAGGGAGAAGCAGACTCCCTGCTGAGCAGGGAGCCCGATGCGGGACTCGATCCTGGGACTCCAGGATCATGACCTGAGCTGAGGGCAGTCGCTTAACCAACTGAGCCACCCAGGCGCCCGTTCATGCACACTTTTACATGGCAAAGCAAATTTTTTAAAAAAGTTACAAATTATTTGAAAGAATTGAGTAAGAGCCTGATTCCTTTTCCTGCATTTGGATCAAAGTGGAAAGCATACTAGTTAATTCAGTATACCTGCATTTTCCAGTTAACTGGGGGGAAAAAAAGGAAGGATCTGGAAATTATCAGTTGGATACATAATTCATGAGTAGTACCTTAGGAATATGATAGACAAAACCAAAAATGTGACTGGTTCTTCAAAAGAACGCTCCATATGGGAATGGTAATGTTTAAGACTATTTATATCACCATTTATCTTAATTCCTCATGATGTTTACTGGTATTAAGTTTCCTTTGGGGTGTAGTTTTGAATCTTAGGGTTCCATAGAGGTAACTGCTTAAGGGATAGACTGTTGGGTCAGCATATGAATAGTATTTGAAACCACTGAGTATGTAACTCTCGTGGTGAAGGTGTTTAGCAATTTATTTGCTTTTATATATATATATATATATATATTTTTTTTTTTTTTTTTTTAAGATTTTATCTATATGTCAGAGAGAGAGATCACAAGCAGGGGGAGCAGGAGAGGGAGAAGCAGGCTCCCCGCTGAGTAAGGAGCCCGATGCAGGACTTGATCCCAGGACCCTAGGATCATGACCTGAGCTGAAGGCAGATGCTTAACCGACAGAGCCACCCAGGCATCCCTGCTTTTATATTTTCTGCTTTTTTATATCATATATGCTATCTTACCATTTTCACATTAATAACGATATTAAGAAATTCTTACATTTAATCTTGCATATTAAATGAGCCAAAAGTCTCTTGCTGGGGCTATTAGGATGCCTTTGACTAACACCTGAAATAGAAAAGGAATAACAGGGTTTAAAAGATGATTTTGGGGGCGCCTGGGTGGCTCAGTCATTAAGCGTCTGCCTTTGGCTCAGGTCGTGATCCCAGGGTCCTGGGATCAAGCCCCATATCAGGCTCCCTGCTCTGCAGGGAAGCCTACTTCTCCCTCTCCTACTCCCCCTGCTTGTGTTCCTTCTCTCACTATGTCTCTTTCTGTCAAATAAATAAATAAAATCTTAAAAAAAAAAAAAAGATTTTCTTTGGGCCATATTTTGCATATACATATGTCTTGTTCCCTCAATTAGCTTGTAAGCATAAGGACAGCAAACCTCCTTTCTGTTATTTCTTTGCATGCCCAATGCTATGCAAACTCTAAATGTATTAAGTAAATATCCACTTAATAAAGGGGGGAAAATTTAACCGTGGGCTGAAACCGGAAACAGGTGTTTCAGTGCTTAAAGAATATTTTTTGCTTCATTACCTTCATGTGTTAATAATGACAAAAAATTAGAAAAGAACAGAAGTTATATACATTTGACTCTTGAACAATACAGGGGGTTAAGGGTGCTGACCCCCCATGCAGTCAGAGTGTTTTAAAAAATCATAAAGAAGAGAAAATAAATTTACTGTACTGTATCAAAAAATATTCACGTGTAAGTGGACCCATGCGGTTCAAACCTTGTTGCTTAAGGATTCCTTGAACAATATTTTCTCTTTCTACTTCCTTTTAAATTTATTTTCACCATCAGCTGTTTTATTCTGGCTAATGAGCTGAGGGTATTTCTTGATGAGAAAAGCCCCTTGAGTAGATTCTGGGCAGTTGTAATTATTACCATCAACATAATTTTTGTTGTAAGTATTGCCTTCTCTGTACTTCCCCAGGTGTCCCAGGTAGACACCGTCTGTGAGTGCTTACTAGAGCATGAGGAGCAGATCTTAAAGGATACATCATTGGAATCCGTTGAATGGGCTGAGGTGGTCATCAATGTGAACAGTATTCTCAAGGTACAAAATTACAGTGAAGATTTCGGCGAATCAAAGACCAGAGTGTGGATAGAAGAGAGAGTGGTTTCCATATTCCTATTCTGTATCGCCAGTAATTTTTAAGTGTTTAGCATTTAATTCAAAAAATTTTAGAAAAATGCCATTTTATTAATCAGGCAAACATTTTGAATGTTTGCCTTGTGCATATTAAGTGTCTATGATCCTGAGTTGTGTTTGGTAAAATAAACCTTTTATTTGGAGAAGGATATATATATCATTACAAATGTATTAATGTTATACTAACTAAATAAATCACTCAAAAGCTTACTGTTTATATTACTGATTAAAATGTTCCATTTAATCTTAGCTAATGGTCTTTATAGCAATTGTTTCCCTACTCTGGTTACTATAGTTTTCCAAAATTGAAATTAAATTTCAGTGCAGAACCAAAAAGTAATTTTGCAGACCTGTGCTGAGTATTTTTTAGTATTAATAGACTTTGGTGTTTCAAATTAGCTTTAAAAATACTGGGATTCATCGCTTTCTGCATATGCTATCACATTTTTTTTCTAGGACATGCTACAAGCTGCTAGTCATTATCGACAAAATAGAAACTCCTTATATAGAAGAGAAGAACCACTAGAACAAGAACCTGAATATGTTCCTTGGACAGGTGAGATTGCAAGCACTGAGTGCAAATATACTGATTTATTATTAGCAGTCATTCAAAATATATTCCTGATGACCCATTTTTGGAAGCTCTATTACTCCATTAGTGTAGGTTTATAAGTAAAATGAAAAATAAGTGCTATCTCCAGAATGAGCAATTCTTGTGAAAATTGCTTTATTCTCTTGAATAATTTATAGATCTCTCTATAATGTATTTCACTAGTACTTATTATGTGTCCACTAGATTTTATTTATTTGTTTTTTAAGTAATCGCTACCCCCAGTGAGGGGCTTGAACTTATGACCCCAGGATCAGGAGTCGCATGCTCTGTGACTGAGCCAGCTAGGCGCTCCATGTCTACTAGATTTTAGGGCATATAGTTATTCAAAGAAGCAGGTCCTCGCTCTGGAGGTGTTGACTATATTTAATGTTGATTTAATACAGAAAAGTAAGTGGAGCAGCATTAAAGGGATTTAGAAGGAAAAAGGATCATGTTTACCTGGCTTTGTTGAGGAAGTCTCCCGTATAGAAGATGGGATTTGAGCAGGACAGAGAGGTATCAACTGAAACCCTATTTGATTTATTTTTCTAGCAGCAGTGAGGTGATAGTTTTTAGGCAGTTGGTCTTTCCCTTAGCCAGTATAGAACCCTTACTTACTGTATTACTTTGTGTGATTTCACAGCAACGAGTGGTCCTTCAGGCATCCGAACAGTAATAGAACGCCAGCATGGAATTGTCCTGAAAGTGGTTTATCCTCAGGCAGACAGCAACCTCCGAAACATTCTGACAGAGCAGCTGGTAGCACTGATTGATTGCTTCCTGGATGGTTATGTTTCCCAGCTGAAGTCTCTGGACCGATCTGGTGATCAAGAAAGATATAACAGTCTGGAAATGGAATACCTACAGAAAAGATCAGATCTCTTATCTCCACTTCGTAAGTGTATGGTATTTAGCAAGGCCCATGGGTCTTTGAATTTGCAGAACGGAGGAAGGAGTCAGATCGTTAATGCAGCGTATTCAGTGTGCTATCATTCATCCAAGCCTAACCAAGAACTTAAAGCACATATGTACAGCTTTCTGTGTTCATTTGTTCAACCTTGTTTTCAAAACTTGCCAGGTACAAGCACCATGCTGTAGAGCGTTTGAAAAGGTAAATTAGCAACAGATGGAGACTGCCCTCCAAGAGCTTGTCATCTGAGACCTTGACACGAATAACTAGTCTGCCCAGTAGAGCATGATGAAGCCTGTTCAGAGGACACGTTCTTTTCATAGTTAGGATGAGGAGGCAGGGTTGTACACATAGGAAGGGAATAGCTTCATAGGTAGGCAGGAACAAAGTGGATTAAATTTGCCTCTTTAATGAATTTATGTGGATTATGAAACTAAATGCCAGTAACTGGAAGGATTTCTATTCCATTATTTTTAGAGTATGGTATGAGTTAAGGGTAAAATTTCATGTAATATTTTTTATCACATATTAAGTTTTCACTGACAGGATTTTTTTTTTCCATCTGTTCTCATTTTTACAGTCACACTAGGCCAGTACCCGTGGGCTGCTTCATTAGCAGAAAAGTACTGTGACTTTGATATCTTAGTACAGATGTGTGAGCAGACCGACAACCAGACCAGACTCCAGCGCTACATGACCCAATTTGCTGATCAGGTAGGTAACGAATGTCAGGGACGTAGGCAGTAGATCCTGTAGTAGGTTTTACCATTTCAAATCTTACTTGGGTTTTTAGGAAGATGATGTACAGTCTTTTTGCAGTTAACTTAGATACTAATTTGTGCGTTGTGTTTCTTTGTAAATTGGCAGACAATTCCAAATATTATTGAAAGATTCTTTGACCTTTGAAGAATGTGTTAAAACTTTCATTTCTATTCTGATATTTCCAGTTATAATTAAAAGTAAATAGACGAATATTGGGAGAGTTTTAAAACTTTGAAAAAAGATCTTGGGAGAACAGGATGCTGCAGCTTTTGGAGAGCTCAGCTTTCCTCAGTTGACATCATGCTTATTTTTTTAAAAAAGTTCTCATTATGACACTCTCTAGGTGAAAGTCACTCACAATTTCACCACCCAGAGAGAACCCTTTTTATCATTTGGTTTATATTGTTCTGGTCTTTTCACTGTATAGTATTATAGACAAACATACTTTGCCAATTGCTTATTTCCCTTAATATATCACAAATATTTGTCCTTCTTATTAAGTATTTCACAACAATGTTTTTGATGGTGTTATGGTATATTGTGAACTGGGTGTAACTTAACGTATTTGACCAGGGCCTGATTGTTGGACACCGCTTATTTGGTATTTCACAATAGTGCTTAAGTAAATACTTTTGTGCCCATATGATTTTTATTCTTTTTGTGGATTCTAGCCCTTTGTCAACATTTTCCATCCATTTTTGCATTTTTTTATTTTCTTTAATATGTTTAGTAATTATTTAAAAATCCTTCCGTGCTACCTCCAAAATCTGATCATTCTCCAGTCTGGTTCTGTTGTCTACTTACTAGTCATATTTTTCTGCTTTTTATGTCTTGTAGTTTTGTTTTATTTTGGATATTGTGTATAAAGGAACCTTAAAGGTGGAAATGAATGCTATTTTTCTCTGGGGAGGCAGATAGGGTGAGAGGCAGGTCACTCGATTCATCAAGAATAGAGGTGGGCCAAGGCTTGGTTGTGGCTTTTGTTATATTCATTTCATTTCTGGTTTTGAAGTCTTGTGGGATTGGTATGTTCGTTGCAGAATTCCTTCTTTAGTGGAAACATCTCTTACATACTGTGTGACTGTAGGACATTTTAGTCTTCCTTTCCACCCTAGGCTTCCATACTTACCCCAGCATTCAGCAAATGTCTGGTGGGAAAAACCAGCTAGGCATTGAGGGCCTCTCTAGATTCTTACTTATCATGCCAGTCTGCATGGCCTTCTGGCACAGAATTCAATCCTTGAGAATCTTTCGTTCTGCACTATCACATAGAACTTTCTGTGACACTGAAGATCTTACTCATATATTTTGTCTAAAATAGGACATAGGGCCATTGAGCACTTGAAATGTGGCGAGTGTGACTGAGGAACTGAATTTTAAAATTTTAACTAAGTTTAAACAGCTACATGTAGCTAATGGCTACCATACCATACAACGCACATCTAAAGTGTACATGATCTTGAGCAAGATCCCCTTTCTGAATCCGAATTCCTCATTTATTAAATGAGATGACTAAAGTTTTTTTAAGGCCCTACCATATAGAAAATAAGTATTTAAGGATTTCTGTTCTGCAATCTAAGACCTTTGAAAAAAATTAATGTTTTATTATAAGAAATGTACTTTTTAAAACTATATTACTGAATATTACTGGATTCTTTGCCCTGTTATTTGTAGAATTTTTCAGACTTCCTCTTCCGTTGGTATCTAGAGAAAGGAAAGCGAGGCAAATTATTATCTCAGCCCATTTCTCAGCATGGAGAGTTGGCGAATTTTTTGCAGGCTCATGAACATCTCAGCTGGTTACATGAAATTAACAGCCAAGAATTAGAAAAGGTAAGAAGGATTGAGTTACATGGAGCAGATTTAGGCAATTTTTTACTTGATTAGTGTAGTTTAGTGATTAAAATACTATTTAGAGATTATTTTATTATCTTAATTTTTTTTTTTTTAAAGATTTTATTTATTTGACAGAGCAAGAGAGGGAACACAAGCAGGGGGAGTGGGAGAGGGAGAAGTAGGCTTCCCACTGAGCAGGGAGCCCGATGCGGGTCTCCATCCCAGGACCCCGGGATCATGACCTGAGCTGAAGGCAGACGCTTGACAACTGAGCCACCCAGGTGCCCCTAGAGATTATTTTAAATATGTATCTCCTATTCTATGACATAATTTAAATAAAGTGTTCTTTTTTATTTATGATGGCATTGCCATTACTTTTAATGTCTCAATAAAAAAAGTACCTTGTGATTTGACTACTATTACAGTAAAGCACAAAAATTTTATTAATGTGTAAATAACAGTCTGTGGCCTTTTTTTTGTAATGAGTATTTTCTTAAAAATGTTCAAATTATGAGTAAAAACAGTACACTAAATAGTTTTAAAGTTTGTCCTTGACAAGTTGTTGAAGTGAATGTATAATTGTTATAGAACAGATGTTTTATACATGTTTCTTTTCCCAATAATTAGTGTGGCTGGTTAATATTTTATTGAATAATTACTCTCAGTATATAGTACCAGTCAGGTTTAGGTTTGCTAGTATTGGATCTGATCTTTCATTGGTATCAGTAAGGGGGGGAACAATTATGGGTTGTACTTAACCTTTATTTCAACTTGAATTTAGTACTCAGGATCTTACCATTTTTCCATATTTTGTTTATTGTAGGCTCATGCAACACTTCTGGGTTTGGCAAACGTGGAAACTCATTACTTTGCAAAGAAAAAAACCCTTCTTGGTTTGAGTAAATTGGCTGCATTGGCTTCAGACTTTTCAGAGAATATACTGCAAGAAAAAATTGAAGGTAAAAGAAAGGATTTGAACATCAGTCATGCTATCAATGAACTCTGTGCATTCCTATTATCATTTAATAGGGTTCATTAGACACCAGGACCCATCTCTCCTTTAAGAGGAGTGATTCAGTGTCATTAGACCCTTACTCAAGTATGTATTTTTTGGGATTCTGTTTTTTAGAGAAAACTTGTATGTTAAATAAGAATTCCTAAGAAGGATGTTACATGATTTGAAGAGTGTTCTGAGTACACCCGTAGTGACTCATATTCTAAGAACAAGAAGAACTGCAAAGAAATCTTGACCTTTACTCAGTGGGTTTTATTGTAGATAGTGGTAATTTTGAAGCTACTGGTTTCAGAATTCAAAACTTTTTGGTGTCATAATTGTATACAACTATTTTGTTATATTGTAGGTTGAGAAAATGATTGGGTATATTGTTATTTTTGAGAACCAAGGGGAAGGGAGATGAAATTTAGAAGGAAGATGAGGAAGAACCCTGTACTGCATTTGAATTGGAGATAATCAGATGGAATCATGACTGTTTAAAATTAAAGTATTTCTTGGCTCTGTTCAGTGAAAAGGCCTAAAATCAGTGACATTCCCGTAGCATGAGTATACCTAGCCCTATACTTTGGCTTCTAACTACTATTTCTCAGTAAAAGGAATTGAGGATTATTGAAGAAATGATCTTGGGAAGTCTTGTTTAGCCAGAAAGCAGGGTTAATGTAGAGATGTCAACACAACAGCCTCCACTGGCCAAGTTTGGGGATAATTTGAACACCAAAAAGAATGATAGGAAAGCATTTTATTTCACCGTTTAAAAAACGTTTGAAAACAAAAAATCCGTAAATCCACGGTGATACTCAAAAGGGGAGGGGTCAGTGAAATGCTTCTTTACAAAAAAAGAATACTAACTAATAATTGTAGAATAGGACTTGGGAAGTCATCTTGCAACCCTGGTGACTAATTAGTCATCAAAGGATGCTAAAACCATTGAGTTTAAGGGTTAGGGGAAGAAGATCGTGTCATGTTTTCAGAGTATTATTACACAGATCTAATAGATACCATCGTCAGCAGTGAGACAAACTCACATTATATGCTTCTGGAGTGATGTGACAGTGTAGAATACCACCTGTGTTGCTTTCATGCTAGAAATGGTCAACCTGAATCTAACCACAAGGGAGTGATTAGATATATCCTGTTTGTGGGGCATTTTGCAATATAATTGGCCCAGACTCTTCAAAATTCAGCAGCATGAAAGACAAAAAAAAAAAAAAAAGAGGCTGTTTTAGATTAAAGTAGCCTGAGAGCTGTGACAACCAAATACAGTGTGAGATGCTTGATCAACTCCTCAGTCATCCCCCAAATAACTAACTATGACAAACATTTTGGGGACGACTGGGGAATGTGAACATAATATTAGATGACATTACTCTATTTGTGTTAAATTTTTCAGACTTGATAATGATCCTTGGTTGAATGCCCTTGTTCTTAGGAGGTATATGCTAAAGTATTTAGAAATGAAATGGCTTGAAAGTCTGCAACTTCCATATTACGTAGGGGGGAAAGCAAATAGGTTGGTAGGTAGATAAAGCAAAGATGGCAAAATGTTAATAGCAGGTAACTCTAGGTATACAGTGTACACTGCGTTCTTTTTTAAAATTTTGTGTAGGTTTGGAATTTTTCAGAATTAAAATTGGAGGGGAGGGCGCCTGGGTGGCTCAGTTGGTTAAGCGACTGCCTGCAGCTCAGGTCATGATCCTGGAGTCCCGGGATCGAGTCCCACATCGGACTCCCTGCTCAGCGGGGAGTCTGCTTCTCCCTCTGACCCTCCCCCCTCTCATGCTCTCTCTCTCTCAAGTAAATAAATAAAATCTTTAAAAAAAAAATAAAATAAAATAAAATTGGAGGGGATCTTAGCTATGTGGTCAGGAGTGAAGTATATGCAAATATAGGTGTGTGGTTGCAGGGCTTAGCCACAGAGTCCAGCTTCTGAGGTATGGATTCTAATTAAACTGCCATCATTTTTTTCTTTGGGGAGTGGGAATAGTGGAAAGAATCTGGATGGAAATTGGAGAGATCTGGTTTCAGTTATTTTCTCCAGCTTACTAGTTTTGTGACCTTGGGTACCCTCTGAGCCTCAGTGCCTTGGCTATAAAATGGGTAGTTGTAAGGATTGGAGACACTATTCCTTGAAAAAAATGTTTTGCATATATTAAGTCCTTAATAAATCATATAACTTTTAACTTTTATCATTTAACTTTTATTACTAAAATTATTATTCACTTTTTAGGAGATTCTTCAGTCTTCCATTTTTAAGTACTAGTAGTGCCTATTGCTCTAGAGAAGTGTGTATATATTCTGCAAGGTTGGCTGATAGTCTGACATTGGAAACCATATTTTAGCCTGGTCACCAGAGATAGACTATGTTAATCAAATCAAAGTTTTATTTCTTGCTCCCCCACCCACCAGAAATCGTTAGAACTCTGGTCACCGTTTTGATTTGATCACTTCTTAACTTTCACTTTCTTAAAACAGTGGGAGTATTTTCAGGTGTCAGTAATTACCTACAGACTATCAGTGTATCTGGTCATAGGGAGTAGATTTTTAAAAAATAACTTACTTTCTGGTTATATGAAAAATTCCTATGGAAATTTGTAAATCACCAGGAAGAACACAATAAAAAAAAAATTGTTCCTATAATCTCACTGCCTCAGAGATTACTACTGTTACTATTTCGTGTATCCTCCCAGTCTGTTTTTCTTGGTATGGAAATTGCACAAAAATGATTTGTTTGTTATAAAATTAAGATCACATGGAGTGATGTCAGTATTTGAGCATATTTATGCTTTGGTCACTGTACTTTGCTGTGACCGCTGTGTTTATGAGGCTGCATGGCAGGTCTCGATCCTTTTCCCCTACAGCCCAGCACACTTTCCTGGGCAAAGCCTGGGAATGGGCTGCAGCCTGGATAGCCTCACCCTGTCACCTCATCCTATTGAGATTACCATTGCTAGTTAGGTTTAGCGTATAAACTTCCAGGTTTTGTTTTTCCTGGAATATACTCATGGTGGCTTTTAAATAGATCATTTCCCTTAGTGAAAGATTGTATTAGAAACTCTGGTGGGAGTTGCTGAGTTACCATAAAATGGGACTGGGTGACCCCCGATTTGAGGGACTTGTGCCTCATGAAATAGCCGTCTGTTCTACAACTCCTTCAAACAGTAGAGTGTTATTTTCATAGCTCTTCTCTCCCCTCCTATTTCTGGTGACTGATTGTTTATATGATTTGAATCAAACCATGAGTATGTTTTAACATCAGGAATCAAGAGTTAGCAGAATTAATAACATTTTAGGATCACCAAGTAGTGATGAGATTACCTTTAGAGATGTTCCTCTTTTTTTTTTTTTTAATTTAGATTTGTTTTATGATAGAGCAGAAGAGTTTACTCCCCTCCCTGCCTCTCATTTTGAATTCTAGAAATGGCTGAGCAGGAGCGCTTTCTTTTGCACCAGGAGACCCTGCCTGAACAGCTGCTGGCGGAGAAACAGCTAAGTCTCAGTGCGATGCCAGTGCTGACTGCCCCTCAGCTCATCAGCGTGCGTGCTTTTCCCATCCTTGCACCGTTTCTCAGTCTCAAAACAGCATCGGTATTTCTTGAGTCAGATGGTATAGTTCCTATGAGTAGTCATCTCCTCACTTCCTGTTTTTCTGGTAACTTTCCCCTTCCCCCAGAATAAGTTGTTAGAAGCTGCTTGAGAGCAGGATGCACATTAGCAGAAAGTAGTGGATCAGCCTCTGCCTCCCTGTAGATCTCCACCTGTTCCTAGAGAAGCTCATGCCAGTGACCAGAAGAAAGTTCTTGTATTTTCTTTTCCAGCATAGGACACATATGTACCATGAGGTACAGTTCAGGCTGTTCCATAAGAAAAATGGTTTAAGGAACTGGATTTTCATAGCCTATAAGTACCATCCTCACCCTTTTCCTTTGGAACATAACACATTCTTAAGGGCATAGCTAGATTATGGGCTGTAGCCTGGGTACTACAACAAAAGATATTTTTGTTGTTAAGTACACTTGTAGCCTTAACTCTGCTTCTCTCTTTGCCTTTCAGGAAAGCATTTCAAATGCAAGAGTGATGTAGGATCACTTTGAATTTGCTCTAATTTTATTAAAAAGAAGACAATTGAAAAACTTCAGTATTTTAGACATTACTAGTAACAGATTTCCTGTAATTGAGCTCACAACGACCTCTCCTTATATAGCATATTGCAAAGTATATGCTCAAAAGAATACTAAAATATGTATACTATCTTGAACCTAAGAATATAAATTTACTGACATTTTAAAAGTACATATACCAAGATTTGCAAATTAATTAGTTTATTATGAGGATAGATGGAATGTGATTTCCAAAGATGATAGTCTTCTTACTATAAAATAAAAATACCTTTGACTTACTTAAAAGACAATGACATATTTTGTCCATAGACAATGACATATTTTGTCCATAAATTTCTCTAGTCTTGGTTATATGATTACTTAAAATAATCCTCAACCTTATTTGAACTTTCTATAGCTGTATATCTGTGAAGAAAACAGAAGAGCTAATGAATATGATTTCAAGAAAGCTTTGGACTTGCTGGAATATATTGATGAGGTAAGTATAAAATCACTTGAGATGATCACAGGCAAGTATCACAGTTTATATATATGGTTTTCTGTAGAACTGAATACCTATAAAAAGAGAAAAAAATACCTCTTGTAGCCAGTCATGACAATGTGTTAATTTAGAAAGACTCTCTGGTTCAGCTATTCCTAACTCTTGGAATGTGTATAGTTCTTTAGAAAAGCTGTCAGGAGATTCCCTTTCCTGATAATTCTCACACATTCCCAGATGTCTTTTTCTGTGCATGAATAAAAAACACCGCTTTTCAGAGTCCTGAGGTATTTTTTCTCTTTCATCATTAAGTCATTATTAGTTCCTCAGTCTGATATATTGCTTTATCAATTTATTCTTCACAGTATTCACCCTAAGAGGAGCTGTTTCTCAACCTTTTTCTTGGGGGTGGGGGGGGCTTTAAATGACAATTCTGTAGGTTAAATAGTTGGCCCTGCAATAGATAGATTTTAAAAATGTAGTGTATTGGCTTTTATGTTACCTTGTTTAAAATCTTAACCCTTTCAAGTTTCCTGATAAAATCAGATTATCACAGAATAATCAGAAACTAATTCTCACACAGTTACTAATTGGCTTATGCTTCTGAGTATTCATGTCTGAAATTTTTTTAAATTATGAATTAAGGTAAATCAATTGTATTTATGCAGAATTAGTTAACATAACTCAAATTTAAGCATGTATTTTTTTTAAAATCAGCACTTAATGAGGATTTTTTTGTTTTACTGTAAAGGAGGAAGATGTAAATATAAATGATCTAAAACTGGAAATCCTTTGCAAAGCTCTTCAGAGAGATAAGTAAGTTCTCATAGCATGAATCTAAGCTATGGTTTTAGAAAAGGACTCTTTAGGAAGATTATGATATCCTATATCAAATGGTTTTGTAACCTAATTGTATTCTAACATAATTATAAAAATTTTATTGTGTGCATTAGTAATCTTAATTTTTCATTCAATAATTAAGGAAGAGTTTAAGGACTTAGGACCACTGGTATAATAAATCTCTACTTTTGATTTTATTTATTTGAGCGAGAGAGAGTGGGGGTGGGGTGCAGAGGGAGAAGGGGAGAAAGAGAATCTCAAGCAGGCTCCACGCCCAGTGCAGAACCCAATGTGGAGCTCAGTCCCATGACCCTGAGATCATGACCTGAGTCGGACGCTTAACCGAGACACCCAGACGCCCCTGTACTTTCGATTTTAAAATTTGGACTGTCAATTTGCACAGAAATATATATGTTCCTGATTTTCACAGAAGTTGGGCCAGTTCTACCAAACAAGAAGCTGCATTTTGTTTTAAATAAAAAGTTTATTAGAGTATCAGTACTCTCTTGTAAGTTACTGAGACCTCTTTTTCATGATCATCTCCTTCCTGAGAAGGGAGATTTCTATGGGAAATGGTGGCAAAGAAAGGTGGTGGCAGTGAAAGACAGAATAATCAGTTGGGGGATTGAATTGTTTCTAGGAAAAGAATTTTAGAGAACGTGACTTGAGTGCTAACACCCTTTCCTACTTACAGTTTTCCTTTATGTGGTGCTGAGAAATTGCAAGAGAACTATTTTTACTAAAGCATTTCTTCCTCTGATCACTCCCAAATAGTTAAAATTGTTGTTCTGTTTGGTCTTGGAGGTCACTCTCTGAAGCATCTAGCTCTGCCCACTTGATTCTCCTTCCTAATCTTAAAAAAGTATGCTGTCATTTGACTGGAATTCCTTGTCATGGCTTCACGTTTAAAAACTTTAAGGTATTGGGGCGCCTGGGTGGCTCAGTCGGTTAAGCATCTGCCTTTGGCTCATGTCATGATCTCTGGGTCCTGGGATCGAGCCCCACATCAGGCTTTGGGCGGGGGTGGTGGGGGGAGTGGTGGTGGTGGTGGTGGTCTCCCCCCCCAATGCTCGCTCTCTCTCTCAAATAAAATAAAATAAAATAATGCATTGGGGGAGCATTTAAGGTATTGTGGAATATATTCATTGATTACTACAAAGCAGTGGTTGTGTGTGTGTGTGTATGTGTTTCAGCAGTAGATAATCTCACTAGATTAAGAAAACTTATATTGTAATAGACCCTGGTTACCATTTTACTTTTATGAAAAGCAGAATATGTTACAGTATATTGTAACTATTACCTGTGCTCTGAAGATCTGCTTTGGAGTCTTTACTAGATTTGTTGTTTATTTATAGAATTATTTTGGGAAAGATGGTTTGCTACTTTGTTTTGACATCAAATACATATGGTTATGTTGGGCGAATAGCTACGTGAGTGTAGCATTTTGTATCTAATATAGAGACTTAAGTATATTCAACATTGAAACCTCCCTTATTTAAATACTTTGAAACAGTCACAAAACTCAAGATTCTCCACCCCTGGGACAACAGCAAAACAAAACTACAGTAGCAAACAGAAGTCGTTTATTTCAGATATGTCCATGATTTCATTTTCTTCTCATTGCAATTTTGTTTTCTAGCTGGTCTAGTTCAGATGGTAAGGATGATCCAATTGAAGTATCTAAAGACAGTATATTTGTGAAAATCTTACAGAAACTTTTAAAAGATGGTAAGTGGTTTGTTAATATTGGAAGTTATAGCATCACTCCTCAATTTTAGAAATCTGAGAATAATGGGGATTTGCCAAGGTGTCAATTCCAGGGCGATTTAAGATTAAACAGTATCATACTCAGAATTAGATTTGTTTAAAATGAAGGAAGGGTTTTTTTCTTTCCTCTCCCAGTTGGGGGAGCATGTGTCAAGGTGAAGTCTCCATCCACATGGGTCCTGGTGGACTCCAGTGGGCAAAGTCTCCATGCTGATTCAGGATGGACAAGGAATGGATTCAGATGTTGGTTGTGACACCAAAAATCTGTATGATAGAAGTAGCCATTTCCTTTAATTTTTCAGTTAACTCTTGTGAAGATTGAAAACTTGAAATAATATATAAATGAGAAATAACTTTTTGATATATAACTGACCATACTAAAGTGCAAATTACAGAATGCTTTTACACATCCATTTTGGACATTAACACTCTAAAATTCATTTTAGGAACAAAATAAAAAGGAACAAGAAGGGTATGTTTTGCACCTAAAACAGCAAAATTCCATTTGCTGATTGAGACGCAAATTAGGTAAAGAAGCTTTTATGGATAAAATGCTATTCTCGGGGGAATCTGAAGTAGAGGATACAGTTGACCCTTGAACAATGTGTGGATGAGGGGCACTGACCCCCAGCATGGTTGAAAATCCACATATAACTGTTAACTCCCTCAAAACTTCACTACCATTAGCCTGCTATTGACCAGAAACCTTACCAATAACATAGTCAGTCAACACATACTTTGCATGTGTATTATATATTATATTCTTATAAGATAAATTAGAGAAGAGAAATTGTTATTGAGAAAATACATTTACAGTATTGTACTGTATCAAAAAAATTTGCAGGTATGTGGACCCATGCAGTTCAAACCCGTGTTCAAGGATCAACTGTATTTACTTTCAGCTTTTTTCATATTACTGGGTGCTTAATATATGGAGAGTGTTAGACTAGAGATGAGCAGTTTTGCACATTTTGTACATGTGTGGCTCATATTTATTACAGAATGTTCTGTCAAAATGTGTCATACTAAATTTAGGCAATGCGCAAAATAGACTTAGTGTTTACCAGTAATCTTTGCAGATATAAGGATACTCTGTGTTATACCAAATGGAAAAAACACACAGTGATAAATTATTGTAAATTCAGCCCTCTAAATGGATAGGACTTTTATCCATCATCCTAACATTTACACGCATTTGGAAGTTTTCTATACATATATATGCAAGATACATTATTTAATCTACATAAAACATGACGAACCCTGTCCCTGGTACGTAGTAGTCACTCAATAGACATTTGTCCTTTGAATGCCTACACGTATTTTGCAGATTCGTAGCCCAGACTCCTCTGTAATGGATTGTATTCTGCAGTCTTCTATTTCAGAATTGCTGGCTTAACTAGGGGACGTGAAGGGGGACCCTTAGAAAAGTAGTGTGAAACTAACCACACCAACCAGTATTCTGAGGTGAAACAGAAGCAAACTCTCTGTGTTTGCGTGTCAGAAGCTTTTGTTTTACAGCCCATCTGATGGTGTCTTAGCATTACTTTTCAGACCTGTAGTCTCCTTTTGTAAGTGATCCAATGAAAATGTAATTCTGTGAATAGATTACTTGGAACTTGCTCATAATTGATCTGGACTTTTATTTTGAAAAAGGGATACTTGATCATCCTACCATGACAGATTTAATAAAGTGCATTCTTTTTCAAAGATGAGCAAATAACACAAAGGTTAATTAAGCCTTTTCATTGTCACAAAAATAAAAATTAAAAATGAAATAAGGGATATAGCAAAATAATCTTTTGTTTGAAAGTATTTGAAATACTTGAAATTCATAAAGAGCTAAAATGTACCTGTAAGACTTTCTCTTTTCTGTATTTGGAAATGAAAAAATAACTGGATATGATTGATTTCTCTGTACTGCTGGAGAGATTTTCCAGTTGAGCCTAATAGATTATTAGAAAGCATTTGGACCCAAATCCAGTGTTTTCCATGAAGTTTGTTTCTTAAAAGTGCCACAGAATTGAATTGTGGCTAATTAAGTGTTTAGTGCTATTTAAAGGTGACTTTGCTGTTTTTGTTATTCTTAGATAATAAATCATAGATGAACAATAGGAATGGAAAGTTGTGATTGTACAGAAAGAATTGTTAAATTGTGACCAAAGGACAAAAACAAGTAGAAACTATTATAGAAATAAACATATATATACAAATGAAAGGTGTATATAGACTTATAACAAGAAGTTATAGACATTTATTTTTGGAAGCTTTTTAATAATATAGCTACTATATACAATAGCAGATGTTTTTAAAAGGACAGATCCTGACAGTAGAGAGATATAGATAGCCTCATATTTCATAAGCTCTGGCAGCCAACAATTACTTCAGTTTGTGGAAAGAATTGATTCTATAGATACATTTAACTTACCCACATGGAGCTTTTCAGTTTGCTTTTAATATTATTGAGGTACATTATACACAAAATACATATATCGATACATGGACTTTAAGTTTTTTTCTAATTAGCCACCAGCATTTAATAGTTGAGAAGTGTTCTTACAAAAGTCTTAACTTTCTTGGGGTGCCTGGGTGGCTCAGATGGCTAAACATCTGCCTTCGCTCAGGTCATGATTCCAGGGTCCTGGGATCGAGCCTCATATCAGGCTCCTGGCTCAGCAGGGAGTCTGCTTCTCCCTCTCCCTCTGCCTCTCCCCCTGCTCATGCTCTCTCTCTCTCTCTCTCTCTCTCTCTGTATCTCTGTGTCTCAAATGAATAAACAAAATCTTAAAAAAAAAATCTTACTTTCTTAATTCTAAGAATCAAAATATTGGCCTAAACCGGACTGAAATATTGTCCTGGCAACAGTCAACAATCTGATGAGCGTTGCCCCATTTGGGTGAGGCGTTGGCTCTTAAGTTTACCAAGATCCCCGAGGCCGCCTTCCTCATACCACCGGGCAGAGTTTCAACGCCTGCTGTGAAGAAAAGAAATCATCAAATATTAGTTCTAAACAGAGGGCATGCATGATAAAAATAGAAGCCAAATAAGGTGTTAAAATTTTTTTAAAGATTTTATTTATTTATTTGCCAGAGACACAGCGAGAGAGGGAACACAAGCAGGGGGAGTGGGAGAGGGAGAAGCAGGCTCCCCGCTGAGCAGGGAGCCCGATGCAGGGCTCGATCCCAGGACTGGGATCATGACCTGAGCTGAAGGCAGACGCTTAACGACTAAGCCACCCAGGCACCCCAAGATGTTTAATTTTTTTAGAGAATTGATCTTTTAGAAATTACTGTATTTTCAGAAGTGTAATGCTGTTTTACAGACAAAAAGTATTTGAAGTATTTTAATTATAATGATCTATAAATAGTTCAGATTTCACCTTATAACATTTATTAACCCAGATTTTTATTATATAACAGTTAAGTACAAAAAGTGATGCTAGGCACTTTGAGGGTATTGAAAAAAAAAAAACTCAGTATTTGATTTTGGGAACCTTATGGTAATGTGACAAATTATAAAATAGTCTTATTAATTGAAAATTTTTTTCCACTTTTATCAAGTGAGAAAATTGTACATACGTTTTTGTAACTACACAGATCCTAATTCAATAGTTTCATTTCATCAGTGCTCATTGACTTTCCACCTTTATAGAAGTCTAATGAAGAAATGATTCTTTACCTGTCTCATTTCAGACTAATATATTTTGAGACACTGGAGCTAGTTTTCATGATACTACTAAATTATTTCCCTATATATAATTGGCTATATATTTAATATATAATTGTTGAAATACTTGAATATATAATTATTATATATTTGAAATACTTGAATATATAATTGTTGGAATATATAATTGTTTGAAATACTTGTTTTCAGGTGATTATTAGTTAAAAACTTACACATTGAAGAAATGACTTAAGCTGTGGAGAAAAATGAAAGTATTTCAGGTCTTTTAAAGACTTTAATCAGATTGGCTATTTTGACCACTAGGGGGAAAAACACTCAAGCAACCTCTTCTAAGTAAAGAATGTCCTGTCGTTAGACCTGCAAGTATGTTTGACAGTGGAAGGAATTTAGAACAGAGTATTTCCCAATAGTGGAGTGACATTATATTTTAAATAGAAGCACAGATGTTATCATTAATCATCTTCATTCATTTGGGAGTCTTATGAAAATAAAAAAGGACTTTCTGTGTTTGTGTTTATAGGCATTCAGCTCAGTGAATACCTGCCAGAGGTGAGAGACCTCCTGCAAGCCGACCAGCTTGGAAGCTTAAAGTCTAATCCTTACTTTGAGTTTGTTTTGAAAGCAAACTACGAATATTATGTTCTGGGACAAATGTAACTTTTTCTAAAAATGGTCACTGTCCCTGAAAATTTGTGTAAGCATGTCCTTATAAAAATCTTAGGCCTTAAACATCTAAAAATCTGTAGTTTTATAACATGTATTGCTGAATTTTGTATACTTTATTTGAAAGCTGCTACAAAACAGCTGTGTGACTGTAGTTTTGTTCTTTTGCTACAAGATATCTTCTCTCCTTTTTGCATCTAAAATGTATCACTTGTTATTTCCATGCTTGCTACCCTTTCTTCCTCTTCTCATTCTGTCAGGGGTTCTGGAGTTCTTAACTCTGGTTCTGGCTACTTGTGTGCACAAAGCACTTCTCGGCCTCAGTTTCTGTAACTTTAAACATGACAAGATTGCACTGATTGTCTCTGAAATGGCTGTGACTCTGCACTGAAGAGAATCTGGAGTATTTGGTGTCTTTTGGTTAGAGCTAGTGGGAAATATGTAGTAAGATAGATGTCAGGTTTGCTGACTTGCTATAGGACTAAAAGACTAAACAAGGCATAATTCATGTGAGCTTAAGAACTGATTAATTCATTGGGAAAATATTAAACATTTCTGTGTAAATAATAGAGTATTAATGAGAGGAGTGAATAAGACCTGTGTTTTCTAACCTATCTGTAAGTTACCATATAATAAGTTTATAGTATTAATGTGAGTTACGATCTTCAGTATGGGGGTTCAATTAGCTTCATGTGTTTTCAAGGTGATTTACACCGAATTCCAGCTTTACCACAGTCTAACTAATGTAAAGCATGTGTTATGCTAGAAGCTATTATAGGTTTTCTTAATATGGCATCCAATTTACTGAGAAGTAGTGGTTCTCAAAGCTTCGTTGTTCTGACCAATGTCCTCACTCAGTTTTTATCAGCTTTAAATAAAGACTAAAGATTGGACAGGGAGTTGCTGCATATTCAGATTTTGGCCCAGTTGAATGCTCACTAAACAACTTGCTCCAACAGCTGAAAAGGTCAGAAGTTAAATATGGTGAAGAGAGTCCGGTTCTGGGTTTCACAAAGGACAGCCGTCTGTGCCCTCTTCCCCTCTAGGCTTCAAATCCAGCCTTGAACACGTTGGCAAGAAGAGGTTAATGGAGCTCGTTACATTAATAACCGAAGGGAAGACACTAGCAGCCTTGTCTTTTTCTTTTTGCAGCTTGTGTGTGGAGACAGCATCAGGGTCCAAGTTAGGAATCTACTGAAGGGTGCTAAGGGAAGTTGAACTTGTCAGATGGTGGATAAGAAATTGCAGAATTTTTATCTTATAGGACATAGACATTAACAGTTCTTGCCTGTATGATCCTTTTCGATAATGTGCTCTGGACACAGGATTGTGCCCCCTTCAACATGCTGCCACAAATCTGATAGCCCTAGTGTGACAGGAAAGCCAGGCCGAGAGTGACCCTGGCCCTATTGATGGCATGATTTTGCATTACTGCTGTCACAGTGTAATGCGTAGTCATCTTATTTTGAGGGAGGGGAAGGCTCGCTCTTCTAGCTCTATCTCATCGTCAGTAGCCTAGCACCGAAATGGTTGCATTTTTAAAAATTAGTAATAGTAAAATTAAGGCCTAAGATTTTGAATAATTTTTCTAAATTTTAAAAATTTCACAACATAGTCTTTATCAAAGAATTGATTTTTACATAAATTGAGTAATTGATAAAGACACATTATAAAGGTGAGCATGTTTTCTAAGGAAAGAGAAATTTTACTGACTTGGGAAAGGTTCCCCCCCCCTCCTGTCTTTGCTTTTCTCAAAGTCACAGCTTGCAGCCTTGTTTAAATGAAACAATAATGTGTTTTTGAAAGTGAGCAGCCAGCTTTGCGTGCTGATATGTTTTAAGAATTTGTGAATATGGGGTGCCTGGGTGGCTCAGTCGGTTATGCGTCTGCCTTCGGCTCAGGTCATGATCTCAGGGTCCTGGGATCGAGCCCCACATCGGGCTCTCTGTTCAGCGGGGAGCCTGCTGCTCCCCCTGCTTGTGCTCTCTCTCTCTCTACCTCTCAAGTAAATTAAAAAAAAAAAAAATCGTGACTGTGTCAAGGATGAAGGCAGAACTGGATACACATAAGGGACTTGCTGAAACCCCAGTGAAGTAAAAGGCTACTGATCCCCTCTGTTGTAGGGATTTCGTTTTTGAAGAAAACTTCAAAAGTGGATTGTTTCTTTTACTTTGGGGTCTAAACCAGAGTCCTGAAGTATATCGCCCACCAGGCACACGAGGCCTGTGGGTAGATTGTGCAGCATGTTTCCCCTTTGAGGCCAATTGCTTTCTCTAGAACAGGAATGGAAAGGAAGCCACACCATAATGTCGTCAGACTCACTTAATCTATTGTAATCCAGCATACTTGTACATGTTGAAGCTGATAACTACAGAAATATTAATGTAGTTCTACCTGCTTATTCCTGGACCTTTAATTTGGAGAATGCCTGAAGAGAAAAGAGTTTTACGTATTTCTATGTAAAATCCACTCATTAGATACCAAAATATAATTTAAAAAATAATTTTGTGTAATTCTAAAAATTTAAAGATTTTTATTTGAGAGCGAGTATGAGTGGGGGTAGGACAGAGGGAGAAGCAGACTCCCCACTGAGCAGGGAGCCCCCCACACGGGGCTCAGTCCCAGGACCCTAGGATCATGAGCCGAAGGCAGACGCTTAACCAACTAAGCCACCCAGGTGCCCTAATTAATTCTTAAAAAAAAAATAGAAAATGTGAAACCTATTTTTTAAAAAAGTAGATGGAAGAAGATAAAGCCCTGTAATTCCACCAGCTAGAAATAGCTTCAGTTACCAGTTTGAAGTGTATCTTAGGGACACCTGACTGGCTCAGTCGGAAGAGCATGCAACTCTTGATCTTAAGAGTCATGAGTTCGAGCCCCATGTTGGGTGTAGAGATTACTTAAACTTTTAAAAAGTGAAATGCATCTTGGACAGTTTGGGACTGTGCATACTGTGTATTCTGTAACCTAGTGTATATTGTGAGCATCTCCACGTATCCTTAATCCAGTGTTTCCCAGTCTTTTTCCCATTGTCATTTCTGAGGACTCTTTTTAGATAGTTTTGTCCTAATCACTCCACCCCCATCCCCCCCAGCAAAGTTTAATACTGCAGATATACTGTGTATTTTTTTTATGTGCTGTGCTTCTGGAGGCCACAAATCATTGTAATACCTAATTTAAGATTTTTTTCACACCCCGAAGAAACAATTCCCCCCCTTCAAAAATGCATGCCTTCACAGTTGTTCAAGATACAATTTTTTAATGACTGCATGATACTTCACCACATGGCTGTGCCATGCTTTATTTAATGGTTCTCTGCCTCCTTAACGATCTGAACACTTGGGTTAATGGTTTTGGTTTGGGTTGGGTTTTTGTTTTTTGTTTTTTTGCCTTTTTAGATACTACTAGAATAAATCTTTGTACAAAAATCTGTGTGTACTCCAAATTCCTGTAAAATTACATGACTCTTCCTGTTCAGTTTGTGATGAAGCTGGCATGTTTAGCAAACAGTTCTAATAATTTTGAATGTCCTTTGCTCCCCTCTTCTACCACCTCACCCCCCTCACCTCCTCCAAACACTCAGAAGAAAGATACTGTGCTATTGAGTGTTTCTGTCCCAGGCACTTACCTAGTTTTAATCTTCAAGTCAATGTTAAGGAGTAGGTAGTATCCTCAGTTGAGAATATGGAGTCTTTCTTGAAGTGAGCTGCCCAAGGTCACATAGCCAGTCAGAAGGGGAGGAGGGTACACCCAGAAATACTTTACTGCAAAGTGCAAGCTTTTAAACCCACTTACTTTGCTGGATACTAGGAGGTAGTGGGGTGGGGGCGGAGAGCTGATGGATCCAGTGGAATCATTAGGCCAGTAGAGATGGCCAAGGCAGAAGCCATGACTTCATTGCAGGATGTCTTTGGCCCCTCGTTGGAAAAGATCTCTTGAGGATCTCTTATGTTTTCAGAACCAAACCAAGTGTTGGGAAGGATTAAAGGAAGGTAAAGCAGTCCCTGACCTGCCCTGACTACTCCTAGTGGGAGAGAGGCACCCAAGCCCCAGCTTTGGGACCTGGGAGTGTGGTCTAGCTCATTGAGCCTCGCTTTTCTGATTCTTAAAACTGAATGACTAGTACCTGTCTTATTTACCTCAGATAGTTAAACGCCTATATGCTTTTAACAATACGAAAGCATATGAAGTTTTATGAATACATATTTAATATTTTTTGAGAGAACGAGCAGGGGGGAGGAGCAGGCTCCCCATTGAGCAGAGAGCCTGATTTGGGCTCAATCCCAGGACCCCGAGACCATGACCTGAGCCAAAGGCACACAGCGGACTGAGCCACCCAGGCACCCCTGAATTCATATTTGAATCAATAGGAAATGATAGAAGGTTTAGACCCAGCCATAGTGGGGTCTGCAGATGTGTGAGGAGCTCAGGGTATAGGGCTGCAGAGGAGGGAGCTGTGAGGCCACAGCTGAGGAGCTGCACAAGGGCCTTGTCAGAGTTTCAAGAGCAGGGCTGCACCTGAAAACTTAGAAGCAGGCACTCTCAGGCATACCCTACATGGCTGAGCTTTACTTAGTGATAGTTCTCAAAAGGGTATGCAGGCAGGCACCCGCTTATCAGGGGAGAGCAGAGCACTGTTGTGTTCCCCAAAAGTGTACATGTATGGAGACAGTTTTTCCACTCGCCCGTTAGGTCTATCCCCTAGGCCAATAAGAATTCAACAATACCAGAATGGGACTGGGTGGCCCCATAGTGACCTGTCAGAGACTATTTAAACAGCCCCAACCATGGGCAGAAAGCAGATGTCCGGCACGGTGTTTTCCCAAGGTTTGCTGTACTAGCAGTCTCCTCCCTCCTGAGTGTTTTCTTCATAGCTTTGTGTGTTTGAAGCTCGTAGACTCTGGGCTTAGAGAAGCTTGCAACAGAAGAGAAGAACTGCACTGAGCAAGAGTTTGGGGAAATATTGACAACCCTGTTCCCCTTTAAAATATATTCTTAGGTATTCTTCCTACTTTCAGGGCAAAATTTAAGCTTTTCCATTTATATTGTACCTATAATGCATTTGCCAGTTTATTTTTTTCTAGTCTCTTCACTACCCACTGACAGCAGGACATGAGGTATTACAAACGAAATGTAATTCTGTCAGTCACTCATTCTCTAAAATAATTGAAAAAGCTAAATGCGAAACCATGGTTGCTTTTAGCTGACCCTTTACACTCACTGCGTAAGCCCCATAATAACCAAACTATTTTTTAATTGACTGATGGTTTTAGGAAGAGCTGCCATGATGTGGGCTACAGAGGAGGGTTACATGTGCTTTTCTGTTCCTCCTCCAGAGAATCCACACCTGTCCCAGTTGCTGAGTTCCACTACCAAATGTGAATCACAACTATTTTGGGAACACTTAAGCACATCAGAAAAATGAATGATTCCATTCTCTCTTGTCCCACGTCACTGATGTACCCCCTCAAAGCATGTCACTGAGTTCATCACAGAAAATTGTGTCTCCCTGTGCCTTCTACATCAGGGTTAGGACTGCGCTTGCTCCCCCACGCCCTGCCAAAAAAGAAAATGTGAGACCGGCACCAACTGGATAA